ATATCGACACCGACAGATGAAAAAGTAAGCTAAGGAAGTATTGTAATAGGGTCTATAGTATGTCTGTTGTTTGTGCAGATTTTTATTAAACAAGTAATCTCGGAAACTACTGGACTGTCATTAAATCGTGTGGACAGTAAAATGCTAACCAGAATTTGTCTAATCATCCCCACCCACAATTTAATGACGTCCTTTATCATTTTGCGTAGTTGACGGTATCTACATTTTATCAAATAATACACTCTTGTATTCGTGGTTTATGAATCCGCCTTGTTTTTTATCACAATTACTTTACAAACATATTTTTTGTGTAATATTTTCAAATGCTCCATAGTTGAACCCGACTCATTATAATACTACTTTTTAGTCTTTGATTATTCATTTTTTCATTTCTTCAAATTTTCGATTAGCAATTTTTCGTTTCGGATTTTTATTTCCGTTACTTTTACAATTTTTTTACTTTAAATGTTGCGATTTTATCATTTTCAATTTCAATTATTCGTTTCTTCAAATTTTTTATTTGCAAATTTTCAAAATTTTTTTTTGGTTAATACTTGCTAAAATAAGATTGATTTTGGCAAATGACGTACTCTCCAAGAAAATAGAGGGTGGGTGGGCGGGCTTAGTACTTGCTAAGTTCAGACTAAATGTGACAAATGGCATAACCTCTAAGAAAATATAGGGTGGATGGGCGGGCCTAGTACTTGCCAATAAGTTAAGACTAATTTTGGCAAATGTTATACCCTCTAAGGAAATAGAGGGCGGGTGGGCGGGCCTAGTACTTGCTAGGTTAAAACTGAACAATATTAAGAGTAGTCCCTGGAATAAAGAGGGGGCGGGTGGGCGGGACTACTGCTTGCTTATAAGACTCTTTGGAAAAAAGGCAAACTCAGTTCCGCCCACCTTCTTTCTCTATTTCATTATCTTATTTTTTTACTGTAAAATGCAATCTAAAATTTAAACCAAAGTAAAAATTGGTTCCGCCCACCCGGCCCCTCTATTTCGTTTTGATCATTCATTCTTATTGGCTCTGAAGACCGGAAGTTGAATTTTATATTGATAAATAATAGGATCTAGGATTCCATTATTTTTTAATAAAATTTAATTATTACTAATTTTTTTTGAGCAAAAATGTTTCAATTTTAGATTTTCCAATTTTTGATTTGTAACATTTCTAGTTTTCATTTTAAATAAGTAATAATAATGATAATATTTTTTTAAATTTTCACTTTATGAATTTTACGATTTTGGAATTTTTCGATTTTTCAAATATTATTGGATTTTAAAACTTTTTCTTTTACACGACTTTTCAGTTTTCGATTCTTCTTTTTGTCGTTTCTCGAATTTTTCGATTAGCAATTTTTCGTTTGGGTTTTTTATTTCCCTAATTTTTACAGTTTTTCGATTTATAGTTTCCCCAGTCCGAATTCGGTTTTATGATAGTACCCCATTGTGTAAAAGTTAACTTCCTTAACACTAGATTACTACTGCCGTTGATGGGACAGTCATAAATAAGGATTTAACCATGCCGTTGCCATTCTATGGTATAATGGAAACGGCAGTAGTAATTAATTGTTAAGGAAGTTAACTTTTACACATCATAAAACCGCATTAGAACTGGGGAAACTATATCAATGTTGCGACTTTATAAATTTTGTTTTTTCAACTTCAATTATTCGTTTCTTCAACTTTTTGATTTGCGATTTTTCAATTTTTCATTTTTTTCTCTAAGTTTACGATATGCAACTGTTCGATTTTTCAATTGTTAATTTATCAGTTTTCCGATTTTTTTAGTTTTTTGTTTCCTCAATTTTTCGATTTGCAAATTTTCAATTACTTGCAAAATAAGATTTTGGCAAATGACGTACCCTCTAAAAAAAAAGAGGGCGGGTGGGCGGGCTTAGTATTTGCTCAGTTGGGACTATATTTGGCAAATGTTATATCCTCTAAGGAAATAGAGGGCGGGTGGGCGGGGCTACTACTTGCTAGGTTAAGACTGAACAAAATTAAGAGTAGCCCCTGGAATAAAGAGCGGGTGGGTGGGCGGGGCTACTGCTTGCTTATAAGACTCATTAGAAAAAATTCAAACTCAGTTCCGCCCACCTTTTTTCTCTATTTCGTTGTCTTATTTTTATTGTTAAATGCAATCTAAAGAAAAGAAAAACTGGCCCTGCCCACCCACCCCCTGTAATTCGTTTTAATCATTCATTCTTATTGGCTCTAAAGAACGAAAGTTGGATTTTATATTGAAAAATAATAGAATCTAAGATTACATTCTATTTTAATAAAATTTAATTATTACAATTTTTTTTTTTTTTGAAAAAATGTTTCAATTTTTAGATTTTTCAATTTTTGATTTGTAATTTTTCTACTTTTCATTTTAATTAAGTAATAATAATAATAATTTTTAAAATTTTCACTTCCAATTTTCCCAAAAATTACACCATTTTGTAGAAATCTCGGGCTTTTTAATTATTAATTTTAATTATTGTATTTTCATATTTAATATCCATGTTAGTAGCTTGTAAAACAAAACTTTTTCGTTTATTCTCGAATTTGTGCTCTGCCCGGTGAGGGTTCCAATCCCATCCGTAGCGATTTTTTTTTTCACTGTGATTTGTATAATCTATATTTTTTAATTTTTTTATTTACCATAAGTGTTAACATTCATCATAAATAAAATTTTGCAAAATCAAATTTTACATGTTTTCCTGTATAACTGGATTTGTTTCATTTTATTTAAGAGGTGAGGGAAGCTCTGTCTAAGTAAGCTTAGATCAATTTTTGTTTGTTTATTCCTCCTCAGATTAAATAATAGGTTGATAATTCTATATCTACCACCACATATCTTAGCCAACGCTGATACCTTTTTATTTCCCGATCAACTAACATACTTTTATTTTTTAGAATTTATTTTAGTGATTAAATCATAAACGGAAAATTTTATATTTACGTATTTAAAACGCTGGATTGATTGTGCTTTGGGAGCAAGGAAACTTCTGTTTAAATCACTTTCAACATGTTGGTAGTTTTTTTGTATCTGAAAAATTTTTAATTTAAAATAAAATTTCTAACAACTGAGTTAAAATATTTTTTTATATGTATTTTGAAACAGCTCGCTGCACGCGCTTCACGTGGACGACATGTAAGTGCCAAAGTATTTTTGATATAAAATTTTCTGTTTTATACACTTTAACTTCATTCATTCTGTACAACTGAAGTCATAAATTATTTCAATAAAATTGTGTACATTTTATTTTTATGCTACTATTTTATTTTAATTGTTAATATAGTTCATTTTAACAGTCGGTGTGATTGTACTATTCTGAAACGAAAAAGAAACCTCCTTAAGAGTTGTAAATCAGTGTTGACGTTTAATATTAGACCAACATTTACTGCAGACTTACATGTGCTACTTTTTTAAATTTGTTGTGAATTAGGACACTCGGAAATTAAAAACAATACAAATTTCACTGAAAGGAAAAAATGGACTCATCTGCAGCCATAAAAAAATCCTAATGAACAACAATAATATTTTTTTAATTCTTAAAAACCCACTTCAGTGCATAATGACAAGTAAACACTCGTAAACACGAACTAGAAATGTAAAATATATAGTTAGTTAGACGTTTATGTTCTCACGTAAATAAAGGACGAGTAAACGAGAGCATGTTTTTAAAATTCCATTTGACTAACAGATTTTCCATAAAACCGTCCCAAATAACGGAAACATTTTGTGGTTATTGAAGTATGACGCTTGTAATTGATTTCAAAAATCGTTAAAATATTTAAATTTAGACACCAAAAACGTATTTAACATATAAACTACTACTAACTTTTTTTCATCATGACTGATGGTGCATTAGGATTTTTTTCTTAAATTTGTTCATTAAGTGCATAAATTAGGTTTTAAACTACATTTCTAAATAATGATTCTTATAAGTTCTAAGATATTTTGAAAGACTAGGTTAGAAACGAAATATGTATAAACGTATGATCTCAATGACAAAATCAGGATTTTACGACGTTGCTATGGCAATTTTTTAAACCTATTTAGATCGAATGTACGATTAGAATGTAAGTTTTAAGCCTGGTTTGACATGACAATAAATTTAACACTAAATTTAAGGTCAGTGCAACTTGTAATGCGACAATAGAAAAAAACCCTTAAACATAATTATTTTAAAATTAGAACAAGAATGAGACTTTTCGAGTTTCGTAATTCAGTAACATTTGTTCTAAATTTATTTTTAGATCTAGTGTATTTTCAAACAGGGTTAAGTGTCGAAAAACTACTTAGCTGTAATGAACTGTTTTTGGAAACATTCTCGTATAACAGTGCTTGGTACAACCTCATTCTACTCTTGTAAAAAACGTACTGTATATTATTTATAATTCTAATTATGTTAATTGATAAATTTCTAAAAATTCTGTAAACTGGAGACGAAACATTCGTATCTTCAGTAAATCGAAAGCAGAGTCAAATTAAAATGTCTTAAATAAAAAAAAAACATTAATCAAATAGTTGAAGTCCATATGGTGGACTAAGTTTAAAAATCTAAATATTTTAATAAACTAAGATAAACTAGTACCACAAAACTGTCCAGTTTTAACTACTTATTTATAAACCCAACTAACTGAAGACGAAAATATGTCTACAAATTAAAAAAGCTAAATCAAAGTTTCTTTTGTTCATTTATGCAGCTGCTCTTGACACAAAATTACCATTCAATACCCCAAAACGCAAAGTATTTTTTCACCTTGTACAAAAATTTAAAAACCGCCTTATAAACAACATTTAGTTAAATGTCAATCACAAGAACTGCATTATTAAAACAACAGTACAGCAAACCCTGCACAAAATTGTAATTAATTCCACCCTTCTCAGATTACGATCTGTGAAAAAAATACAATGTCAAAATTTCCCCCTGAAGGCTTTTCTTAAGGTTGTGTGAAATAGGCCACCCAAACCCCAATCCCCTGCAGCGCCCCAACGGTACCTTTAAAAAGTCGCTCTTCATCCAAATCCATTATCCTTTATCACTGCACGTTATCACTGCACCTGAAGGCCGTACAGCTGGGTAAACACATCGCGCACAAGCACAAGATGCAAACCTGCGGTGGTCCACCAAACGTTATTGAGGATAGTTGCAGTGTGTTAACAGACCAAAGACATATGAAAGTGTGAACCGAAGCGGTTCGGCCGGCGTCGGGCATGGTCGGCTCTGCTGAACTTGAGCTTCAGCAGGATTTGCAGGAGCCGAACCACCCTCGGGTGCTTCTGGAACAATGACAGGATTTTTCGTTATTCTTTTGTGATTTGTTTCAACAGGAGGGGTTGTTCACCTTTCGGTTTTCCTTCCAGCTACGTTGATATGCTCGTTACGTAAATGTAAATGGAGTAAAGTGTAAAAATAAGAGCGTACGATACGTGAATGAAAAATAAAAGAAATTGTGAGGTATCCATATTGACCTGTAATTCCAGTTGAAATAAGAGTGAACGTGTTATGGAACAACTTTTACTTGTGAGAGGTGTTTCGTACGGTGGAACACAGGTACGGTTAAGGTTTTTGTGCGAATTGGACGAAATTCGATTTAATGGAAACTATAAACATTTTCTGGAGATGAGATTTTATGCAATGTGATGGGCGGGAGAAAGCGTTTTGGCATTCGATGCGAATTTATGTAATCGGCAAGAAAATCGCACAAAATGGACAATTGTCAGGCTCGTTCGAGAGTTGTTATGTGGCGAGCAAAAACCGGTGACTTTGCATTGCAAAAATATTTCGCGAGTTCGTTGACTCGCGACAAAATTACATTTTTAAATATTTTTACGCAACCATCATTGCAACCGAATTTTTTGTACCAAAAAAACTTAATAACGAAGTGCTGACAAAGAACTCACCTCACTTGACCTCTTTACCATTTTCAATAAAAAATAAAAGTAAAAAATTCATTAAAATATTCGTTTGCCTCCAATTAAACCGATCGGTAATCACATGTGTTTTGCTACTTTGATAATTTGTTGACATTAATTATATTACCACTAATGCTGAACCGTGAACGACTGAATACTTGACATTAGTCGATACAAGAACAAATATTTTGATTACTTCTGAAAGCAATTTCTCCCATGACATGACAGCTAAAAAAAATAAAGAATAATATTTCTGTAAGGATTTATTTAACATTATTAATGGAGTAATTGTTGCACAGTTTAGTTAAATCCTCAGAATACAGGAACATAAAAAGAAAAATGAAGGGCAAAGAAAGTACACAGAAGAATATAACGGCATGATTTCTGGAACTAAATGAAACCATATTCAAAAGGTACACAAATAAAATCAATTTTCTTTTTCTAGTCACCCTGCATAAGCAATTCTAAAAAAAAAATACGAATGAAAAATTGTGAGAAGTTATTGGTGGGGACAACAGGAAAATTTTGGTCAGCATGCTCAAGAAGTAAAAAGTGGTGAAGACGGACTGTCGTAATCAGAAAAAAATATTAAAAATAAAACCAATAATCAAAAATGGTTTACATTTTGCCCTTTATTCTTAATATGTGCAGTCTTCTTCTCACAACAAGGAAGGTAAAACATGTTTAAAATGGTAACTATTTATTGAAAAGTATCGATTTTGCAATTAGGCTCTGCCCCTTGCCTTGGTCTGACAACGAATGAAAAATCCGTCACAATTGAGCTGGTGATGGATATGGGTGGGGCTTAGATTTTTCTTAGTATAGATAGTATTCTTTGAACAACACAATACTCAAAAACATATTTTTTATTCCTTGTAGAGAAATAAAGATTTTGCAATTAAAATCCGCCTCTTTGACCCACGACGAATAAAAAAATTATCAGAATTGCGATAGGGAGGGTGGGCGGGGCTTATATTTTGGCATTTTTTTTTTTTTCTTAATATACGTAGCCATCTTTTCACGACAAAAAATTTAAAACATGGTTAAAATGATTGCAAGGAAATATGTATTTTGCAATTATGAGGCGGAGTCTATGCAAATTCGATATTTCTTTATACAAATTTTTCATTTTAAACATGTTTTAAGTTTCATGTTGTGAAAAGAAGTCTACAGATATTAAAACGAAATGGCAAAATGAAAGCCCGCCCACCCGCCCTATCTCAATTGTGATGATTTTTTTATTCGATGTGAATCAAGGGGGTGGAGCTTAACTGCAAAATACTTATTTCTTTACAAGAAATTGAATAATTGAAAACATGTTTTTGAGAATCGTATTGTTCAAAGAATACTATGTATATTAAGAAAAAAATAAAGACAAAGATTATGCCCCACCCATTCCCGCCCTGATCCCAAATGCCTTTTTTTCTTAGTACACTAGTATTCTTTGATAACACGATACTCAAAAGCATGTTTTAATTTCTTGTTAAGAAATAAATAAATATTTTGCAGCTAAGCTCCGCCTTCTTGGTTCACGGCGAATAAAAAAAATCATGACAATTGAGATAGGTAGGGTGTGCGGGGTTACATTTTGCCTTTTTGTTTTAATATGTGTAGACTTCTTTTCCCAACAATGATGGTTAAAACATATTTATTATTTTCGATTTTACAATTTCAATTTTTTCGACTTTTCACAGTTATGTTTTTCACTTTTTCGATTTATCAATTTCTAAAGATTCCTAGTTTTTAGATTTTAGGATTTCTCAATTTTTCGATTTTTATTTTGCAATTTTCTAATTTTTCGAGTTTTCGGTTTTACATTTTTCGTTTTTTCAGTGTTTTGTTTCTTCCTTTTATCAATTTTTCCATTTTTCTGTTTTTTCAATTTTTCGGTCTTACGAGTCTTCGATTTTACAATTTTTCATTTTTACAAATATTCGATTTTTCAATCAGCTCTTGAGTTTTTCGATTTGCAATTTTGATCTTACAATTTCAATTTTTCGACTTTTCACCGTTATGTTTTTCACTTTTTCGATTTTTCAATTCATTAAGATTCTTAGTTTTTAAATTTTACGATTTCTCAATTTTTCGATTCTTATTTTGCAATTTTCTATTTTGCGAGTTTTCAGTTATACATTTTTCGAATTTTCATTGTTTTGTTCTTCCCATTTTGATTATTCCATTTTTCTGTTTTTTCACTTTTTCGGTCTTACGAGTCTTCGATTTTACAATTTTTCATTTTTACAAATATTCGATTTTTCAATCCGCTCTTGACTTTTTGAATTTGCAGTTTTTGACCTTACAATTTCAATTTTTCGACTTTTCACCGTTGTTTTTCATTTTTTCGATTTTTGAATTTCTAAAGGTTCCTAGTTTTAGATTTTACGATTTCTCAGTTTTTCGATTCTTATTTTGCAATTTTCCGATTTTGGGAGTTTTCAGTTATACATTTTTCGATTTTTCATTGTTTTGACCTTCCCCTTTTCGATTTTTCCATTTTTTGTTTCTTCCATTTTTCGGTCTTGCGAGTTTTCGATTTTACAATTTTTCACTTTTACAAATATTCGATTTTTCAATCAGACTTTGAGTTTTTCAATTTGCAATTTTTTGACCTTACAATTTCAATTTTTCGACTTTTCACCGTTATGTTTTTTACTTTTTCGATTTTTCAATTTATAAAGATTCTTAGCTTTTTAATTTTACGATTTCTCAATTTTTCGATTCTTGGTTTGTAATTTTCTATTTTACGAGTTTTCAGTTATACATTTTTCTATATTTCATTGTTTTGTTCTTCCCCTTTTCGATTTTTCCATTTTTTGTTTCTTCAATTTTTTGGTCTTGCGAGTTTTTGATTTTACGATTTTTCACTTTTACAAATATTCGATTTTGCGAGTTTTTAGTTTTACATTTTTCGATTTTTCACTGTTTTGTTTCTTCCATTTTTTTAACGCTAATTATAATAAAATGGAAAATTTGTGAAAGGCAATATCGATTTTGCAATTATTGCAATGTACTATTTTAACTATGTTTTTCAGTTTCTTGTTGTGAAAACGTGGCCACAGATATTAAAACAGAAGGCAAAATATAAGCCCCGCCCACCCGTCCTATCTCAATTCTGATGATTTTTTTATTCATGTGAGCCAAAGTGGCGGATTTTAATTGCAAAATCCTTATTTCTCTACAAGAAATGAAAAACATGTTTTTGAGTGTCGTGTTCTTTAAAGAATACTATGTATATTAAAAAAAAAAACAAGCCAAAAATTAAGCCCCACCCATATCCATCACAATCTCAATTGTGATGAATTTTCCATTCGTTGTCAGACCGAGGGGCGGAGCCTAATTGCAAAATCGATACTTTCCTACAAAAATTTACCATTAAACTTAAAACATGTTAAAATGGTACACTTTTGCAAGAAAATATGGATTTTGCAGTTAATGGGGCGGAGCCTAATTGCAAAATCGATATTTCCTTATACAAATTTTCCATTTTAGACATGTTTTAAGTGTCATGTTGTTAAAAGAAGTCTACACAAACTACACATATTAAAACAAAAAGGCAAAATGAAAACCCGCCCACCCACCCCATCTCAATTGTGATGAATTTTTTTATTCTTAGAAACTTAAAACACTTTTAAAATGCCAAATTTTAATAAGGAAATACGGATTTTGCAATTAGGCTCCGCCCCCTTGGCTTACGAAGAATAGAAAATTTCATCACAATTGAGATAGGGTGGGTGGGCGGGGCTACATTTTGCCTATTTTTTTAGTATGTGCACACTTATTTCGACAACAAGAAACTTAGAACATCTCTAAAATGGTAAATTTTTGTAGTAATGAACTGAAATTCTCCACTTTTCTTCTATAACCCCTTTATATACGCCAAAACTTGAACATTACAGTTACTATCAACGGCAACTTGGAAACGAAGTTTATAAATGACAATTTTCATCTCTAAAAGCAACGTCAGCGGGAACTTCAACGTCAACAGCAAGTTTATAAATCCCACTTTAACATATCTGTTAAAAATGGCTTCATTGTGAAAACTGTCACACCAACGCCATCGACCACTGAGCGTATGAAAAATGGAGCTTTTAATCTGTCTTGAAAGTCGTTTCTTGTTTACAAGATTTTATGGACTGTCAGTTCAACTTCAGCACGTCTGCGAATTTGTAAAAACGTTCTTGAGTGATATATTTGTTAAAGTGCCAAGACCTCGTCTGTTTATTCCATGTTATATTTATCGCTAGCTAATTTTAATCCAATCGAAGCTCCGTTCAACACCTCCCATCCGTGACGATGGGAACCAAACTTGACCTTCCTTGGACCCTTTTTTAAGGTGATGCGCAGTTGCCGCCATAAACGAACCATATCTCCTTATTTTTGTCTAAATCTAACAAAGCGCTTGTGTAACACGAGAAAACTTAATCTCTCACCGGGAAATTCTCCGAAAGGTCGCGGGTTTTTCACTAATTAACATAGAAACAAATCAAAGTTTGCATCTTGTCCATTCGTATCTTAATGACACGATTGTCAATTAGTGACAAATTTGTGAGTCAAATGATGTGAATTTCGAAAACTAAAGACCATGGAGGAGTTTTGCGCCAAAAGTCAATCGCTGCTGACCTCCCAGCCTTTTCTGATCTGTGACCCTTTGATGAAAAGTTTCTGGTTTCAAGGCTCTGTGACTTCCTTGAACTAAGCCAATATACTGACATTTGCATATTATGCAAGTCGGTTTTTGCTTGCACGCTGCTAAATTAAAGTTATAAATTATTTTTAATATCTCGGTGAAAAACGAAACCTCGATTTAGAGTAGTGATTGTATTACCGGTAAAACGTGTTACGTAAATGTGAAATAATCCATCTGTTGCGTTCTTTCGTATTGTTTTCGGTAATTTTGGTGTGCAGCCAATATTTTTTTCGTTTGCATCACCACCTCCCACGTTTCAAATCTTGTTTCGAGGTATTTTTATAGCGGCTGTCTTAATTTAGTTTCGGATGAAGTTTTTATTGCAACTTTGTCTCAGTTGTCACTCTTCAGGAAATACGTTTTTCGATAACGGATAAGAAAGAGTAGAAATACTATTTTTACGCTCGAGTGCAACTGAACTTTACGGGACGAAAAAATTTAAATAGTTTTGGATTTATAAATGTCAGAAAAAAGCATAAAAACCGACTTCACTTAAGATAATCTGTTCGTGGAAGGTTTGTTTCAATGACGATAGTGAAGATTTTGGATTATTGTGAAATCAAAAATTTGCAAATACGGAAACCGCAATATAAGTAATGATCAAAAATAAAAAAGTAACTGCAGAGACAGGATTTTTCTCAGTAAAAACAGATGCGGTGACAACAACACCTAAACCTCAGTATATTATATCACGTATCACATGAGTCACGTGACACTGGACACTCCATAATCACGGAAACAACGATACACGTTTACCAACAATAAGCACGTATAAAATTATTCCGCGAAAAAATACTCCAACAAAACAATTACACCTTATATAGAACTTTCTAACATTTCCTGAACATCGATAATACGTATATTTACACACCATTGAAGTGTTTATTGTGTGAACATTTTTCCCTCATCCATAATGTGCGATAGTAAAAGTGTAACATCTGGCAACATAAAAAAAACAGCGACACGAACTGCCCTATAAATTTATAATGACGCTAAAGAGCCAACATTAATGCTATCTTTATAAATTCACACACGTTGTAATATTTATTTGTGCGACAGTTTTATTGATTAACGATGAGAAGCTTTTGTCGCAAAAATTACAATGAAGGTATTATAGGCAACCAGTAATTAAACATTAGCTAACAATAATAGGTAAACTTTACCTGTTACATGTCAATCTTGTCTTTCAGCCTTCAGCAGCGCACTTTCAGAGAGCTTTCGGAGGCGTGCCGTCGCGTAGCGGCTTTCTGGCGCCTGAAACTCGTAGAAGTTCGCATTTCAGTGTTAGTGTTTCACAACAACATGAGAATTATTTTTTGGTTCTTGACAGGTATGTTTTTGTGAATGTAATCGTTACACTATTTACCGTTCTTATTCGTATCACTAAATAAATACAGCTATAGTTGAATAAACTTTGAGATAGGTTAGTTTTATTTTATTAACATTTACCAAGCTAATTTACTAGGTTGTACAACAGACGAATTATTTAGATAATATTTATCACTTTCGAACCTAAATTATTCTGACCTAAATTTCGTACATTTTTTTCAGTTTGTTGGTTGAAAAGCACCCTAGCAACCACCATCTTCGACAAATTACTCCCCCAAACCTTTATTTTCTCGAGATGCAAAAACTCCACCGATACTCCGTTCATGGACGAGATAAAAAATCGCCTAAAAATCGTTAACGACTACTTCGACAACCTCCAAAAACCCACGTTTTGTTCCGAAGACATCAACAAACTCATCCCGATTATGAAACAAATCACTGCAGACATACAAAGGTGTTTCACACGCAACGAAACTTATTTGCCGAAATTCATGTACGAGGGTTTCGCCGATTTCATGGAATTTTTGTGTGGTAATCGAACTATTGAAAGTAAGTGTAACGAACTCGTTTAGTGCTAATAAGTGGCGAAGTTTTTTTCAGCGATCAGGGCGAGGATTGCAAAGAAGCCCTCATAGATTACGACGATGGTGAAAAAATTGCGAATTGCTCTTGTCGGTATTTTCGGATATTCGATAATGAGTTGCTTACGTACGACCTTTTGTGTTTGTAAGTGGGTGTTTATGGGTGGCTGCTGGTTTTTGATTATCGTGTTTCAGCGAGCTTAATTCTGTCGAGAAGTGTTTTGATGAAGCGATGGTTTATGGATGTCCACATTTTGCGGCCTTCAGAATGCTGAATTCGCAGTTTTTTAGGGCAATTGGGGCTTTGTGTAACCGGGCTGCGGGTTATTTTAGCAGCGAAGTTTTGATAATATCCGTCTTCCTAATTCCTCGATTTGTGGCAATTAATATTAACTAACAGTTAATGGTGATCACACAGTGTGATAAAGTAAAATTCTAAAATTTACAGCTTCGTACAAGGTAAAAAGACAACGAAGATAGGGGTTGTGGTAGATGTTTAAAGCTTGAAAGAGATTCTAGTCACTACAACGAATTATTCATCGATGTTTGTACAAATATACAATAATTCCATCCTAAAATGTTGCGGAGTTCAGAATTTATAACTAATAAAATAATTTTAAATAAGTTATAAAGATGTGTGCCAAATTGTTCATGTTAAAATAAATTACTTTTGAAAGATAATCGTATTTATTATGCAATCAACCAATTCTTGTTTTTATAAAACGACATTTTAAGCAAGGTACCTCGCGTTTTGACATTATCGTATTTAGTGCATAAACAATACGTTTAACCTACACATGCTACCCACTTGAGTCACTTTTAGTTGAGATTGTGGCTAAAAAAAACAGTACTTCAGAGAATAACATAAAATGTCAAGTGGTATTTTAGAACTATTTGATTTGTATTGTATTTAATTTGAAAGTTAAAATCCTGAATCGCGCAACCGGTTAGCTCCAAATGCTAAAAATTATTTCAGGCTTTTTGTATTAGTGTATTTTAAAAGTAATTTTAGTTCCTCCTGAGTAATCGATTGAAAAGTATACATTAAAATATGTATGTTAAGTAGGTTGTTGATGGCTAAAACGTGACACTATGCCATTATAATAATGATTAAAATAAAGTTAGAAAGGTCAGAAAATCGGTCGTGCATCAGTATTTGTCCAAATTTCTATTTCCGACAGATAATAATCTAAAATATTTACCTAATCACTTTGATGAAAGAATTATCATGAAATTATGAAACTGCAAAAATCGTTAATTTTTCACGTGTATAAATTTTACAGTATAATTTTGCGATCAAATATGGCTATTTTTGGAATACAAAAAATCAAATTTCAAACCGAATATTCCAAAAATCGTGCTCCGGGACCATAAATACTGTATATTTTTCGAATAAGCAGTACCAGATTTATCTGCGAATATTTAGACAAATTTTCCAAAAGCTCAATTTTTGAATGGAAATTTCGACATTTTTTCGACCACGTTTAAAAATGGACTAAAAAATTTTCTTGTAGATTTCGATATCCAAAAGTTATTATAATAATCATAAAAATATGATGTCATAAAAGATCAGTGAAAAAGGTGGTACTCGCATGCAACCCATCCCGTCATTTCTCTTATCTCCCAACTAATCAAACAAAACCTCCAGTTCTCAACATTAATAATCGCGCAAATATTGATTGACCAAATCCAAAAATAAACTTCCTTCCCAAAATCTGCCCCCTTTCCAAAAGTACTATGCGTTCTTTATACCTGTTGTATTGTATAGTTTTGGAAATTTCATTGTACCCTATAAAATTTTATTGGCAATAACGAGACAGAAAGTAGTACAATAGCAAGAGATATTTATAACTTAAGTTGTCGCGTGCCGGTAATACCCAGATGTTAGAAACCAGAATAATCCAGGTCCGGGCAGGGTCCATCGTCACTTACGAATGGAAATGACCATTATTTTGTGAGTACAACTACCTGCCAAATGTTCTCAGACAAATTTAAGTGAACTGGTGTGAGCCATAAATATTTCTTACCATTGTACTACTGCCCGTTTCGTTACCGTCAATAAAATTTTATAGGGTAGAACGAAATTTCCAAAACAGTCTAGGAAAACCCATTTTATTGGACGATTCCAGAGCTGGCTGTATAAATAAACATCCATTTCACAAACCACTTCCATCCATTTCATTTCTAGAGTCCATTGGGTTGCAACATGAACGTTATCGGTTTCCTTATCATTACAGGTAAGAACATTTTTTTTTATTTCCAAAATCAAGTTAGCGATTTGACAGGTAGTTGTTTTGTCCAAGGTAAATTTATGTTTGGAATTATGCCACCTTGCCACAGTGACGCAAAAATTTGCATTAGCATATTTGCACAAAACATTTACTTATAAAGTTTTCCTTATGCTTACAGTTATAATTTAAAATTATAATTACAAATATAATTGTAACAGTTATGCTGACGGCTTAGGACCTTACATTGGGAAGCGGGATTGACTTTCTGTCACGTAAATATTTAGTTTGTAAATTGATTAATTTTGCACATGAATAATTTAGAAATTTTGGCTACTTGTGACAATGTACAACATGTTCAGAAGTATTTAGTGTATCAGTTAATACAAAAAGAGATAACACAAAAGCGTTATTCATATACACGTGTTAAATTCAACTTCAATAAAATTTTCGTTTTCTTTTTCGATTTGAAAATTAAATTACATCAAGCTTTGCAAATGCCTGCAAAATGGGTTACCCCAGATTGTCATGTCGTTGAAGGTTCATTGTTATCTACAATCATAAATACTCTTCATTTATATGTAGGTCTTGCATGATTATGTCTTGTTTTAAGACGATTTACTTACCCAAACAGACTAAAGGGATTGCAAAATGCAACATTTTTCGTCAATTAGTAAAATTTTAAAGTTTGTTGTTACCTTTATATTCTATCTAAAACTTTTTCTGCAACCAATAGGTCAGTATTTCTCCCCTATATTGTTGCTGCATTACTGACGAATGCACATACGCATTTTTGTGAAACACAATTCCATAACTGAATAATAATCGTTCCCGACGGTGGCCTCTATTTAAAACCTACACCGTTTCTCTCGATAGATCCAGAACGCCGCTTCGAGGGTTTTCTAGGTCCGTCGCGATATCCGGTGCCAGGCCTTTCTCTAGCGAGCACCGGCCCCTGTCATCGATGAGTCGTACTACGCACTAGAAGACCCATAGGTGTCGTACCGAGGCGGCGTATGGGTTTATTTCGTAGCAATATGATCTTTTAATAATTTGAAGCTACATTTCTAAAAGCCGTCTCTTTCATCTTCACTTATGACTGCATCTAGTTTTTTCCAAACAGTCTTGCAAAAAAGGTCGAGTAATGCATTCAAACATGTTATACGTTCCCGCTCTGAGAATCGAAATTGTTTTTTTTTTCAGTGGCGACATAATTAGAGTTCTAAGTGACACTGACACTAATATTGACATTGCAGAAAAATTATATTATTGTCAATGTAAGATGTAACGATTATGAGTGCTATAACTATAAGACGTAGTTTTAAGGATAAGTGTAGCATAAGAAAATGTTTCGCGCAAACATATTGTTTTGCAAATGTTAGTTAGGTTGATTGAACTTTGATACGAGTATTAGGATCAATAAAGGGATTAAAGCTATAAAGATAAAATTGAGAAAATTGGTTTTATTGTTGTTTTGATTTTATTCCTTTAGGTCTTGCTTTGAAAAGTGTCCTCGCACAAGAACCTAGAAATATCAGTAACTTTGAAACATTTGTGAACTATAGGTGCAAAATTTATAGCACTCAAGCATCAGCGTTTCATGATGTGAAAACACAATACGGCCAATTTTGGGATTACTTGTCCAACACCTCTACTCTTCTTCCAAAAGGGAAACAACAATTTTGTAACGATGAAAAACCCACTCTCATTAATATGATGAAACAGTTGGCCACAAAAATGAGCCGTGTTTCCGCAAAGATGAAAAGTACTTACCTAAATTCATGTATGAAAGTTTTACCAGTTTCATGATTTTCGTCTGTAAAGAGAAGAATATTGAAAGTAAGTTATATTATAACCAAGATTACAATTTCTAATTCCACTTGTAGATTTCTTCAGTTCTCAAAAACGTGACTGTGAGAGTCAACAGGCAGGACACGAAGGAAGAAACTGTTTCAGGAAATTCTTTGCTCGATTCAGTGATGTTGTCAAAAAGGATGATTTGTGCATGTAGTGGATATTTTCTCCCTTCGAATTCACATTTTAATCGACTGCTTGTAGGGACTTGAAGTTTACCACGACTTGTTTTGACGAAGCTCTGGCCAAAAACTGTCCGGATTTCGCTGGGTACCAATCTCTAATCGCCAAGTTTTTCAAAGCGATAAGAGAACCATGCGATAGTGCAGTAACTGTCGGAGCTGGTAGTGTGATATTAATGATAATCGCCTTCATTTCTACAAAAACCTTCTCTTAGTATGTAAATGTGCACTCGAATTTTAAATAATAAAAACGACAGCAATAAACTGTCTTTGCTTTTATTAGACAGATAATCTCCGAAAGTACTGCTCTACGCTCACCAAAATTTGTCTACTCATTCCTAACAACAACGTGATGACGTCACTTCAAAATTCTACACAGTAAATGGGTTTTAAATTGTACAAAACAACATAGTACTACACATGTAGTTTACGACGCCGTGTTGAATTTTTGCCCGAAACGTCTACATTTTTGGAAAAAATATCAACAACACTTTGTATAGTGAACCAAGACCTATAAGGTTATATGGCCATCATAAAAGTAGTTGACCGCAAATAAATACCCCCTTTGTGTAGTTCGCACTAAGCTTACCGGTTGGCAATAAATCACCTTCTAAACATTTCTTGCTCATATTTAACAGGGCCGGCTTTCAAAGCGAGTGGTTATTTCGGAACCCTCAGCGGCTGCAGGTAGTAAAGAAATAGTGGAGTGGTGGATTTTCATATTTAGTGAAAGCCGCCCCTGAACGAAACCACAAGAGCCGGTCGAGCTGCAGTGGACACGTTATTTACGACCCTAAAACCTTTTCTATTGTAAACAACTTAACTTCGACACAATGGGATGATTTTATGATGGCCATATAACCTTATAACTCTTGGTTCACTATAATTTAATTTTGAATCTGCAGAACCGAATACTTTGAAATATTGCAGATGTTTTGAAGTTATTGTAAACATGGTAACTTTTCAATCAAAATGTGTCTGTTTATCAACCCCAAAAAATTGATGATATCATCTCAAAATTTTGCCGAATAAATTCGAGCCAAAGTGTAAAAATATGATGAGTTTTTACTTGTGATTTATCATTGCGTTCATATTTTTTAGATTTGCTTAAACAGATGGGCTCAAAAAAATTAATGAATGAGTCAGTTTATTTTATTGATTAAATCAGGAACGGCTGACTCCATTTTCCTAGAAAGTTTTGGGAATAAAATACTTTACAGAAATTATCACAAAACGAAAATCGTAAATCTTTTTTTTTCATTTTGTTCCATTGTGTCTTAATTAATAATTTTAGTCCTCTTTTTGAGGAAACAGCTCATTCAGATTAAACAAATTTCTATGTGACATTCGTTCGATGTATAAACATAAACAATCGAAGTTAACCATGTACACTGATAGTAATACACTCTTTTTCCTTGGTATTCGCTTTAAATATATTTCATATTGTCCGTATGTCTGCAAACGGCATCTCCTTGGAATTTGCACCTCCACGGCGCAGGTGGTTCGATGTGTCATTTACACCACCGATTTTTAATATAAGTATAACGGTTTTCAGAAAACATTTTTTTATAATTTTTCAAAAAAGCGGAATTTGTTGGACTGTATTTCAAGAGCGAGGGAAGTTCTGATAATGTAACCTTTGACCAATTTTTTCTTTTTAAATTGAATTTCAAATGGAATATTTCTAAAATGGTGGCTCGGGATCATAAACATGCTATCTTTTTTGATTTAGTACGTCGATATCTACACTGCTACCGTTTTTCCGGAATCACCGAGTGAAATATGACATTTTTTAGAATTTTTCAAAAAAACTGTATTTCACTATGAAAGAATTCATCAATAAGGGACATGGTTGAGGAGAGAGAGGGGGTTATTAGTCTCCGTTTTTTTTTTTCAAAATAGTCTATTTAACAATATGAATAATATGATAGTACTTTAAACATGTTTTAGTAATTTCTGTAGAGAAATATGGAACTTGCATTTTTGTTCCGTCCCGTCCCTCGGTTTGACAACTAATTAGAAAATCGTCACAACTGACATGTGGGTGGGTGGGTGGGGCTTACTCTTTTTCTTCTTTTTTTTATTACATGTTTTCAGTTTCTTGTCGTGAAAAAAACTACTTACATTAAGGAAAAAAAAGAGAAAAATATAAACCCCACCCACCCGCCCTAACCTCAATCGTGATAAATGTTTCATTTATTGTAAGACCGAAGGGTGGAGTTTCATTATTGTAAAATCGATGTTTCTCTACAAAATTTTACCATTTTAAACTTGCTTTAAGTATGTATCTTGTGCTTATTACGAAAAAACGCAAAATATAAGCCCCTCCCCCCACCTGCCGCCATCTCACTTGTGATAATATTTTTTAAATCGTCGTGAAGGGGCGGAAGTTAAGTGCAAAATCCTTATTCGTCTACAAGAAATTACCATGTTTTTAAGTATAGTGTTGAACGAAACCTGCATATGTATATTAACGAAAAAAGCGGCAAAGCTTTAGCCCTATCCACCCGCAGTAATATCATGTTTCAAATGAAAATTTCTTGTTGGAAAATCAGGATTTTGGAATTAAGCTCCCCCCCCCCCCGGGCTCATGGCGAATGAAAAAAATCACCACAATTGGAATAGGGGTGGGTGGGCGGGGCTTATATTTTGCCTTTTTTCTTAATACACGTAGTTTTTTTAATGAAAATTTTGACCCTTTTTCAACCACTTTCCAAACTGATCTAGAAACTTGTAGATTTCGACCTTCAGAAACTACTTTCGGCCTCAATTTTTCGATAACTACCATTTTTATAGAATCACCCATTGAAATAAGCATGCCAATTTTTAGGATTAAAAAAAAATAAATTCAAATCGAAGATTTCTAAAATCTTAGCCCGGGACCATAAACAAGGCATATTTTTCCACTCAGCAAGTCAATATCTCTATTCCACATTTCTTTCTGGAATTTGAGACGACTTTTTCAAAAACAAAAATGATTCAGTATGAAAAATTTCGACATTTTTTCAACCACTTTGAAAAATTACTAAAAGAGTTTTTTGTAGATTTCGACCCCCACAATTTACGTTCGGCGTTATTTCTTGGAAAACTCCTACCATAATTCTTTCGGACTGATTTCTTCGAAAACTCCTATTACATTTCCAGGATTATCTAATGAAATATGGCAATTTGCAGGATTTAAAAAAATATGCTTTAAGCCAAAAGCCAGTCGAGAAACCCTACAAGCAAAATAAAGTGATTTTAACATTGCTTCATACACTACTTTCTCAACAGACGTTGTTACCACCAGCAACGTAATTATTTTTGACGACAATATAATCGTTAATGAACTGATTAAAACATTCAAAGTTATTTACTAATTATAAAACATTGTCAAAATCAAAAGTTACAAAAAGTAGTATAATTAGTATTACAGTAAGAAATGTGACAATTAAGACTGAAAATTCCGTTAGGATTTTAAAGTAAATTGACGTAAATTTTGTGGGCTAATATTTTTATCCTTCTTTACATAAATTAATGTAACTGTGATATAAATGAAGGTCAGCTCCAAAGTGCACTACTTTCATCAGACTGTTAATAAAAGCTGAAGAATGTGATAAATGGTCTGAAAAATATTTTCCTTTTTATCGAAAAATAATAATTTGAAGGATCGCGCCTCCTTTTCTGTTCTATTTTTCGCTTTAAGGTAAAAAGTTCAATCAATCATAAAGGATGCGCAAAATCGTTAGAATGGGAAAATTATTTCCTCGTGAATATTTTTCGAATGGTTTGTAAATAGGATTTACGTCCCAATCTATATGGTGTTTATAAAATAGGTCTAAAATTTTACAACAATGAGTCCAACAGTTTCGCAAACTTTTATTAGTCTAATAAAATTGCAACAGACGAGAGACCTACTTTTTCATATCCTATGAAGAATGAAACGCCTAATGCCAAACCAAATGAATCCCATTATAATATCTACTTCCCAAAATTACTTCTGGAAAGCAAAAAATGTTACATAGTTACGTTTTGTACATGCTACAGCCAATAATTATTTATGGAGCACGTCATAAAATTCGGCTATTTTTACATGTGCCACACGTGTAGAAAACCACTTAACTTAATTGATTTATTATTAACACTTCGCTGAAAAGCTTGACAAAGTATTGTTTTTCCCAGAAATTGTGACAAAATGGGTCTAAGTTTAGAAACGTAATAGAAAAGAAATAACTCCAACATTAAAAATGCCAATTAAACTAATAACAAAAGTGTAGCAATCTGCAACATTTGTGGAATGCACCATTAATTTTCTTTTCATGTAGCTATTACGATAGAGCGTTGATGTTATCTAATCGCCAACAACTCTATCAAGAAACAAAGAATTTTCCCCTCTTCCACAATAACCAAACATTTCTAACACTGAATAAATTTCATAAAAGCTCAGTTAAAAATGTAGTACTCGCATGCAACCCCCGCTCCATTTCTCTTATCACCCAGCTAAATCAAACAAAACCTCCACTTCTCAAACGTAATAATCGCGTAAATATTGATCCACGTAGTGCAAAAATAAACTCCCACCCAAAATCTGGCCCTTTTCCAAAACTCCAACCTGTTCTCTATACCTGTTGTATTGTAATCATTACGTATTACTCCGCAACTATGCAACCATGAATGGCAATCATTAATAAAATGGGTTCCGTGTGTAATGACAAACAAAACTACCATTTTTGCTTCCACTCTACGTTGATATAGTCCCACTTGTTTGACCACCAGACGTAAATAAAGGTCGAGTGACGTAAAAATCACGTAGCGGGTTTACGGCGCCTCTAAATTCGTAGAACATTCGTATACTCATGATCTAGGGAAACCCATTTTATTGGATGAATCAAGAGCTGGTTGGATAGTAAACATCCATTTCGTTTATAGAGTCCATTGTGTCGTAACATGAACGTTATCGGTTTTCTTATCATTGCAGGTAAGATCAATTTTTTTAATTTTCAAAATCAAGTTAGCTATTTGACAGGTAGTTCAACTGTTGTGTCCAAGGTAAACTTTTGTTTTGAGTTGTGCCACCTTGACGCAGTTACGCAATAGTTGCATTGTTTTGCAAATGATAGTTAGGTTAATTGAATTATGAATACGTGTGTTAGGATCAGTAAAATAAAGCTATCAAGATAAAATTGATAAAATTGTTTTTATTGTTTTTTTTTATTTAGGTCTTGCTCTGAAAACTGTCCTGGCACAAGAATCTAGAAATACAAGCAAACTTGAAAGATTTGTGTACGATAGGTGCAGAATTTATAGCACTCAAGCATCAGCGTATGATGATGTGAAAACACATTACGGCCAATTTTCGGATTACTTGTCCTACACCGCCAGTCTTCTTCCAAAAGGGAAAGAGCAATTTTGTAATGATGAAAAACCCACTCTCATTGGTATGATGAGACAGCTGGCTAAAGATATGCAGCCGTGTTTCCCCAAAGATGAAAAGTACTTACCTAAATTCATGTATGAAAGTTTTACCAGTTTCATGATTTTCGTCTGTAAAGAGAAAAATATGGAAAGTAAGTTATAATATTATAACCAAGATTACAATTTCTAATTCCACTTGTAGATTTCTTCAGTTCTCAAGGCCGTGACTGTCGGACTGCCCTTAAGAGTCAACAGGCAGGACACGAAGTAGGAAACTGTTTCAGGAAATTGTTTGCCCGATTCAGTGATGTTGTCAAAAAGGATGATTTGTGCATGTAACAGATATTTTCTCCCTTCGAATTCACATTTTAATTTACTGCTTGTAGGGACTTGAAGTTTACCAAGACTTGTTTTAGCGAAGCCCTGGCCAAAAACTGTCCGGATTTCGCTGGGTACCAATCTCTAAACTCGAAGTTTTTCAAAGCGATAAGAGAACCATGCGATAGTGCAGTACCTGTCGGAGCTGGTAGTGTGATATTAATGATAATCGCCTTCATTTCTACAAAAACCTTCTCTTAGTATGTAAATATGCACTCGAATTTTAAATGCTGTGAATATTGTCTTGTTACTGCTATATATATATATCGATTTGTTGTATATTTGTAATTTAAAATTAAACACCATTGTACGTAAGTGTTGCCACCCACCGTGTCAATTAGAAAAATAAAACCAGTGTTTTGGTTACTTTTGAATTAAATTTGACGTTTACTACCCTAATTTCATAAAAACTAGTTGGCAACCTTATGGATAAACTTCATTAATATTCTGAACAGTGGCGGCACGGAAACTCAGAATAGGGGGATGAGATTTCGGTGTTAAGCGTAGGCGGCTTAACAAAGTAACGTATTTGAGATTATTTCATGTGGAATTTTATGAAAGGGTTCAATTTTTAATGATCGTGATTTTTTAATAAAAACTGCGGCAGTAAACTACAACTTGTGAGCATCGATAATTACACGATAATTTTTTTCCTGTACAAACAATGTCAGTTTATAAAGTATAATGTAAAGTAAATAAACAATATATAAATGTATAATAAATCATAAGTATACACTGAATTCTGTTTGATAATGTATATCGTTTAGATGTAAGTCGTCAGGGAGAATTTTCTATCTGAAGTATTAATTTTGTTCCATTTTTTTGTGTGACCTATATTCTTTTTCACATAACTGTCAACTGCGTATTCTATTAAACTCGTTTGAAAAATGAATGTGTTTTTATTTAATGTAATTTGTCGATTTCTGCGTGTTATATCTACTCATACAAAAATAGTTTTACCTTATCAAACACTAGCCCCGCCAACCCATCCTTTATTTTCTTAAAAGGTATGTCATTGGCTAACACCAGACTTACCTTAGCACGTACTAGCCCCGCCCACCCGCCGCCTATTTTCTTAGAGGGTTATGTCATGTGGCCAAACTAGTCTTATCTTAGCAAGTAATTGCCCCGCCCACCCCTCTCTCTTCTCTGTCTAACGACTAATGTTATTTCTGTTCAGTATAAAAGCATTTATTTCATTTAGATCGCATAAAATCAATCACTGGAAAGCAGACAGGGTGGGTGGGAGGGGCTAATTATATTCTTCCGTTGATTAAGAGTGGAAACTAATATTAGAATCTAGGATGTAAAAAAGTAAAATAAACAGCTAATCGTAACTGACCTGTTCTGACTTCTCTATTTTCCCAAATAAACAATTTTGAAGCATTTCTTTAAATGTATGAAACCTACAAAGTACATTCTTGAAATAATTGTATTTTGTGGAATAAAAATTAATAACAATTTGCTTTTATATCTACAAAATTTTTATACCGAGCTGTTTTCAGTTGGCGATTTTGCAAAAGCGGTAGAATCGAAATCTACGAGAAAATGTCTTCAACAACTAATTTTCAGAAATAGTTAAAAAATGATCGAAAATGTCAAAAGTGCCAAAATCAGTCTTATTTTATCAAATACTGGCCCCACCCACCCAGCTTCTATTTTCTTATAGAGGGTATTATGTCATTTGCCAAAATCAGTCTTATCTTAGCAAGTATTAGCCCCGCCCACCCGCCCTTCATTTTCTTGGAAGGTATGTTATTTGCCAAAATCAGTCTCATCTTAGCAAGTACTAGCACCGCCCCCCTCCTCTCCCTTCTTCTAATTCTAACGACTAATTTTATTTCTGTTCAGTATAAGATCATTCATTTTATTCACATCGGATAAAATAAACCACCGAAAAGGAGACAGGGTGGGTGGGCGGGGCTAATTATGTTCTTCGCTCGGGTGGGAGGGGAAACTAATAATCTAGGATGTGAAAAAAATTAAAAAAATCACAAATCGTAACTTTTTTTGTTGTACTGACTATTTGCTATAAACTTTATTTCTTATTTCATTTACTATCTTAAATAAACAAATTTTAATCATTTCTGTATATATACAGGATGTTGAAAAAATGGCGCACTAACTCAACGGTACATTATTAAGTTCCCAAGTCTAAGTTTGGGAAAAAGCATTACAAAATTCCCTTACGTCAATTTAACGTTCACTTACAGAAACAAAATATCGATTTAGACTGATAAATTAAAAAAATTAGCCACACTTTTCCAATTCATTCTAAGCAATTTTTTTTTTTTATTATAATATAAAATGAAGAAAACTGTGGATAAAAACAAAATACCTACAAAATTATTTTGAAAAATATGGTGAAATATGAAAATAAAAGTTAAATTTTGATGGGCTATATTTTCCAAATATATTTGGGCTCAAGAATTTTTTTAATTTTTTTTCTGTTCTATAAACAGTCCTCAACAACGTGTCATAGAGTTGGTATGCCATTATTTCAGCACTCTGTATAAAAACCACAAAGTACATTGTTAAAATAATTGTAGTTATTTATGAAACAAAAATAATAATTTCCCCAACTGTTTTGACGAAACTGTAAACTGCTATATTTCAGTTAGCGATTTTGGAAAAACGGCAGGAATTACTGAAGAGACGAAGCCGAAAATGACTTCTGGATATCGAAATCTATAAGAAAATGTCTTCAATTAATTTTCGGGAATAGTTGAAAAATGTCAAAAAAACCAAAATCAGTCTTATCTTATCATAAAACTATCCCCACCCACCCTCTATTTTCTTAGAGGATATGTCATTTGTCAAAATCGGTGTTATCTTAGCAAGTACTATATTTATGACACTGCTTTGTTTTGTATTAAACCTCATTCGTTACAAAAATTTCGAATAAATAAAACGTTCCTTTATTGTCAAAATTTGTACCAGAATATTCAACCATTTTACCCAGCGCCCCGACTGCTCCGGCACTGGATTACCGAATCTGTGCGATTTTAGCGCCCCCTACATTGAACCAATTTAAAAACGAAAATAAACCGCCTCTTATCGTCTTATCTCCTGTGTTGTGATATAACCTATATTTTTTTTCCAGAAGTTTTACCAAAAAAACATGAAAGAATTTGCCTTGGGGTACCGCGAGGTGATCCCCGACCAAACAGTATGTGACCCGTGGCGAGAAATTAGCCTAAATACAGGTAAATCTACCCCACTGAACAAATTCCCGAAAGTGAGGTTATCTTTCCAGGCGGCACTCAAGGCACCCTTCAAGACATCAAAGTCGCAGAACGAGCCAACGGTTTTTGTTACAGGGACTCGTCGAAGCACCACACGAGGAACAGATTTATTTACTGGTACTTTTAGACCTCCTTTGGTTTAAGAAACTGTTCAAAAAAAAATAATTTTAGGCGAATTTCTCACGACGTGCTAGAGCTAGTTGAACACAGTCTCGACGTGAACCTCGCCGGAAATCGCATCAGATATAAATTTGTGGACACGCCAATCTTGGATGGAGTTTCCATCCATGAAACATACGACAACGTGGTTGTTTTAGTGCCAACTGTGTGTAGCGTCCACAGGTTGATTTTTCCGCACCCTGACAAGTATCACAGGCAGGATCACGTCGCAGGGGCGCACCCAGATCTCGCAGCGCCGTCGATTTTCAGCGAAGCCACCGCTAACGACGCCCGAGATCCCTCAACTTTTCACTTTTTCACAAACTCTAGTAAGCACAAAAATCGTGATTTAACGTGTTCTAACTGAAAATAGGTTCCCAGTTGCCTTACCTGGCTGACTCCTCACTCACTCTCGCTGAAGAAGAAGCAATTTTTGTCCTTGCTTATCCCTCAAGTGAGATTCTTCTAGTAAAACAATCCAGAGAGGGAAAAATCGACTCAATTGAACTAAAAAACGAGTCAATCGTTCCGCGGTTTTTGTCAGGACTTGCAGACAAATTGCGGTATTGCATGAACTCAATTAATTAAAAAAACATTAATTATATCTTTGTAGACAAAAAGACAAAGAAGGAGACACTACAGTCAGTCTCATTTTACACACATTTGGCCTTGAGACTTTTGCCTTGACGCTATCTAGGAACGGCCACTTGAAATTCTGGTCGTGTTCGAAGGCAGAGTGTGTGGCCGTGATTGACGTAATCGCAGAAACTGGAGGAATCGCCCGCAACCAAATTCAAGGGGCCCAGAATCATATTCTTCGAAAAGCCGTCGATGGGTACGATTCTGAGTGTCTCTTGGGTATTTTTATGAGCTTTTCCGCTGAAAGTCAGCTGCATGTTTTTAAACCCATATTAAATGGGTCACAAATCCGTTTATTCCGACTAAATACGCTTCATTTAGCTCAGGTTGGTAGTAGTGGTTTGAATTCTGGAATCATAGAGTGCTGTGGGCAGAAATGACAGATCAGTTTATCTTGTTTTCAGAATGATTTGATTGATTTTTCTTTGTCAACGACGCGAATTTGGTCGGTTTGGCGAGGTAAAGATGGGGAGTGTGAAGTGTATTCAGCGTCCCTTCAGTCAGGGAGTCATTGGATACCGGTCATTTTGGAGAGTGTGCCGGATGCTGGGCAAACTCCAAATATTGATGGGGAAACGGACCCACGCCAGGTTTATCTACAGCATATTTTCCAACCGGGGCGGTTTCCCTTGCACATAATCAGTAAAGCCCTTAACGTGAGTATTTTTTGGTTAATTAGGGGCGTTTTTTGTAAGAGTACACACATGGCAATGTCAACTTGATTACTTCCTAATAAACTGTATCATCTTGGTGGCGCCATTTTGTGTAGGTTTTAATTTTTTTATAACATTTGGATTATACCGGGTGTCTGGAAAATGGCGCTACGCTTTTAACAATCAACTGGTAAGTCTGAGAAAAATAGCAAAAAATCCTTTGACATTTTGGTGGAGTTACAATGATTTTAAAATTGGTTCTTTTGCTACGTTTAACAACTAAACAACCCATTCATTATCACAATAATGAATCACATTTCCCCGTCAAACGCTGTCGAATAGTTTGGAATCGCGCACATAGACTATCCCCATAACAGCAACAAAACTGTTCTTAAATCTACCACTCGTTTGACGGCGATGGAAAAAAATTGTAACAGCCTCAATAGGCATTAAGATACGTTACAGCATTGCCGATATTTCTAGTCCATTAGATTTTATTTCGGTTAGAAGTTTCTGATAAATAAATGGAATTATAATGAATAAATATACAAACAAATTATTACTTGTTGTTTTAAATACTTGTTAATGCTATTGAAAACGTAAAAATAAATATAAATAACACATTGGTTGGACATTTTTTTACGCTTTCGTGAGCTCGTTTTTGTTACTAATAAATACAAAGAAAAATGATACGTTTTCTCAAAATTTATTGTATTTTTTTTTTAGAAAACTTATTAGACTAGAGACGGGCAGATATTCACTAAAGACAAACCATGTGTATTAATATATGTCTTAAAAAACGGAAAAAATATGTCGCACAAACTCGAAAATAAATCTTTTTTTTTCACACTTTATGATATACGTACAATTAAGTATATCGATAATACGTTACTGAAAATTTATTGAAATATAATTTGTGTTAAAAAAGATTTTTGTGGTTTTATGGTTTATTTACATAATTTATTTATTTACAATGAATGTTTTTAACATAGCACAAGTTCTTGACATTTTGTATTTTTATTTCGCATAATAATCGTGTTTTCTGTAATTTTAACGAAGAAAATTACTCACTTATTGTCTGACATACTTTTGTACATTGAGAGTCCACTTTCAATTAAAAGGGGTGGGCGCACCGTCAGAGGCGTCCGTCATCGTTTCTCTGTCATAGTGAACTTTTCTAGCGACCTGTTTAGACCAATGCCTAATAGATTCATTCGCCTTCGAGCTAGCGTGTTAACCAGTTCACTTAAGTTTATGTTTCCTTGTGTTATTGTTTGCGATTTAAAAAAACCACCCTCTGCTGAAGTGTGCATGTCACGCTACTGACTGACAGTTCGTTATCAGATTCTGATGACTCGCCATTTTGAACTTTAAATGATCCCTCTGTACTTCTGTTCACTACCTGGCTATCCTGGCAAGCGAAAGATCTTGCAGTAATAAAAGATTTCAAGATGAGCCTAACACACATTTGCGGGTATTTCTAGTCAACTAGATTTTATTTCGTTTAGAAGTTTGTGGTAAATAAATGGGATTATTATATTGAATAAATAATACAAACAAATGATTATTATTATTACTTGGTGTTTTAATCCATTAGACGCTTATAGGCTATTGCATACTTTTCTCTAAAAATTGTCGGTCCTATGCGTAAATTGACATTTTGAATAAAGGTCGTAGGGAGATTTTTTTAGCGTTCGATAGTTTATTTACATAATTTGTTTATACTATTTATTTATATTACATTGTTCATTTTGCAACTTGTGTTATCAATAGCTATTTTACAATCAAATGTCAGGATTTACAACAACGATTTTTGATTGAAAAATAGTTTTTTATTAAATTTACATTTTTTGCTTTTTATTTTTATTACTGCAAGATTTTTCACTTGGCTAGAATGGTCAGGTAGTGATCGGAAGTAGGTAAGTATCAATCGAATAACGTAATTATACTGACCGTTTTAAGGAGTGATCTTCCAATAGTCCATAAACTAAGACATTCGATAAATTTTCTTGGAAGAGTTTTATTTTAGCAGGTGCTAGCCCCGCCCACCCGCCCTCTTTTCTTAGATGGTATCTCATTTGCCAAAATTACTCTTATCATAGCAGGTACTAGCCCCGCCCACCCTCCCTCTTTTCTTAGAAGGTATCTCATTTGCCAAAATCACTCTTATCTTAGGAGGTACTAGACATCGTGCACTCTAAAATCGACACAGCTGTAAAACTGCGTAGAAGCACAAAAACCGTCAGGCCAAGTCTACTTTCAAATTTTAGGGATGGACGTACCTTCAGAGGCGTCCGTCATCGTTTCTCTGTCATAGTGAACTTTTCTAGCGTAAGGGCACCTGTTTAGATTAGTGCATATTAGATTCATTCGCAATCGTGCCAGCGCGTTGACCAGTTTACTTAAGTTTATGTTTCCCTGTGTTATTGTTTGCGATTTAAAAAACCACCCTCTTCTGAAGTGTGCACGCCACGCTACTGACTGACAGTTCGTTATCGGATTCTGATGACTCACCATTTTGAACTTTAAATGATCCATCTGTACTTCTGTTCACTACCTCGCTATCCTGGCCAAGCGAAAGATCTTGCAGTATTAAAAGGTTCCCAGATGAGCCTAACACACATTTGCGGGAATTTCTAGTCAACTAGATTTTATTTCGTTTAGAAGTTTGTGGTAAATAAATGGGATTATTATATTGAATAAATAATACAAACAAATGATTATTATTATCACTTGGTGTTTTAATCCATTAGACGCTTATGGGCTATTGCATACTTTTCTCTAAAAATTGTCGGTCCTATGCGTAAATTGACATTTTGAATAAAGGTCGTAGGGAAAATTTATTTGTTCCTCACTTGTAAACATCAATTTACCAAGTCACTGTATTCAACATGAAAATGTCACTTAACTGGCTTTTACAGCCCTGCTCGTGCTCATACAGCCATGTATTTTTAAACTATTATAAGTTGAAATGACAGCCAGAGTTGATTCAGGCAAATTTTCACTCACAATTGCTGCTTCCTCAGTAATATAGCTTGCGCCGCACTCATTTCAATACATCGAAAACAATAAATCGAAAAATCTAAATGACAGAACTAGACAACACAATAAGTGCTATGATAAGTGCCATGCTGACGTGCGTTTCCAAGGCAATACGTCTAAAGCTCATACGATGTTTCTTCAAATATTGGACCTTCTGGAGTTTTTAATAGTTTATAATAGTTATTTACAAGTGAGAAACAAATAAAATATTGAACAATACACGCAAGGTACCGGGTTTTTATTGGCTCCAGAAAGTTGTTTTAAATCTTAAATTCTACCACTTGTCAAAATTGAATTCAATTAATATTTTATAGTAAACAAAATAAGTCAGTGAAATGGTGAAAGAACGTGGGCTGGGTTGACTTTAGCTGTTTTCTACAGTTTTATAACTTAGAGGACCCGGGTGGGTTAGGTAGCTTCGTGCTTGCCCGCTACACCCTGGGTCGTGGGTTCGATTCCCGCCCGGCTCTGGGTGTTGTGTATGTCCCCCGTTCCCCTGTAATTGGGCCTCCGGCCTGTTGGGGAACGTAATCAAATAAAATAAAATAAAAAATAAAAAATAAAAAAAAATAAACAAGCAGTGGCCCGCCCCCCACGCTCTTTATTCTAGTAACTACTCTTAGTCTTATGTTAAATAGTAGCCCTGTCCGTCCGCTGTTCATTTTCTTAGAGGATATGTCATATGCCAAAAATTATTCTTATCTTACCAAGAACTAGTACCGCCCACCCGCCCTCTATTTTCTTAGACGATATGTCATATGCCAAAAATTACTCCTATCTTACCAAGAAGTAGCCCCGCCCACCCACCCTCTATTTTCTTAGACGATATGTCATTTGCCAAAATTATTCCTATCTTAGCAAGAACTAACCCCGCCCACTCGCCCTCTATTTTCTTAGAGGATATGTCATTTTCCAAAATTATTCTTATCTTACCAAGAACTAGCCCCGCCCACCCACCCTCTATTATTCTTGGAGAACATCTCACTTACCAAAATCAGTTTTGTCTTAGCAGATTCTAGCCCCGCCCACCCGCGCTGTTCTCATTCTAACGATTTTATTTTTGATCATTATAAGATCCGCCTTTCACTGTTATCAGATAAAATGAATCATTGGACTGGAGTTGAGGTGGGTGGGCGGGGTCAATTATATGATTTATTTATTTATATTACATTGTTTATTTTGCGATTTGTCTTATCAATACGTATTTTACAATAAAATGTTAGGATTTTCTACAACGATTTTTGATTGAAAAATAGTTTTTTATTAAATTTACAGTTTTTGCTTTGTGTTTTTATTACTGCAAGACTTTTCGCTTCGCCAGGATGGCCAGGTAGTGATCGGAAGTAGATAAGTATCAGTGGAATAATGCGATTATACTGACTGTTTTAAAGAGTGCTCTTCCAATAGTGCATAAACTAAGAAATTTGATAAATTTTCCTGGAAGAGTTTTATTTTAGCAGGTACTACCCCCGCCCACCCGCCCTCTCTTTTCTTAGATGGTATCTCATTTACCAAAATCACTCTTATCTTAGCAGGTACTAGACATCGTGCACTCTAAGATTGACACAGCTGTAAAAATGCGTAGAAGCACATAATCGGTCGGACCAAGTCCACTTTCAAATTTTAGGGGTGAGCGCACCTTCAGAGGCGTCTGTCATTGTTTCTCTGTCATAGTGAACTTTTCTAGCGTATGGGTCCCTGTTTAGATTAGTGCCTAATAGATTCATTCGCAGTCGTGCTAGCGTGTTGACCAGTTCACTTAAGTTTATGTTTCCCTGTGTTTTTGATCGTGATTTAAAAAAAATATTAAAAAACCATCCCCCTTCTGAAGTGTGTGTCACGCTACTGACTGACAGTTCGTTGTCAGATTCTGATGACTCATTATTTTGAACTTTAAATGATCCATCTGTACTTCTGTTCACTACCTGGCTATCCTGGCCAAGCGAAAGATCTTGCAATAATAAAAGGTTCCAAGATGAGCCTAACACATTTGCGGGTATTTCTAGTCAACTAGATCTTATTTCGTTTAGATGTTTGTGGTAAATAAATGAGATTATTATAATGAATAAATAATACAAACAAATGATTATTATTACTTGCGTATAAGCTCTTGCATACTTTTCTCGAAAAATTGTCAGTCCTATGCGTAAATTGACATTTTGAATAAAGGTCGTAGGTACATTTTTTTGCGTTCGATGGTTTATTTACATAATTTATTTATACTATTTATTTATATTACATTGTTCATTTTGCAACTTGTCTTATCAATAGCTATTTTACAATCAAATGTTAGGATTTACTACAACGATTTTTGATTGAAAAATAGTTTTTTATTAAATTTACATTTTTTGCTTTTTATTTTTATTACTGCAAGATTTTTTGCTTGGCTAGGATAGCCAGGTAGTGATCAGAAGTAGGTAAGTATCAATAGAATAATGCGATTATACTGACTGTTTTAAAGAGTGCTCTTCCAATATTGCATAAACTAAGAAATTTGATAAATTTTCGTAGATGAGTTTTATTTTAGCAGGTTCTAGCCCCGCCTACGCGCCCTCTCTTTTCTTAGAGGGTATGTCATTTGGCAAAATCAGTTATATCTTGGCATCTCCTAGACCCGCCCAGCCACCCTCTCTTTTCTAAAAGGGTAGGTCATTTGCCAAAATCAGTTTTATCTTAGTAAGTACTGATGACTAACTTTTACAAAAAATGATCAAAATTTATTAATGAAAAATAAGAGCCTGTTTTATTAATAATAATGCACTACGATTAATGACAACTGGTTGTTGTGGTTATTGTCTAAAAAAATAAACAAAAGGTGGACTTCAATCACCATCGTTAGTAAGAAATCAGAAAGTAAGCCGGAGGTAGATATTCACGCATTAGGTGCGTGCACTGTTGCCAATTTTAATTTTATAAAATTACGTTTTTTTCGTAATCTACATCATAAAGTATTTTTTTATTATTTTTTTTTTGGGACTCCCAAATCCCCTGCACATAATGTAGATTTTTTTTTCCAGACACCCGGTATAGGTTATAAAATATATATATTTTTTTGGATTTAAAATGACTCCGTACACCGTAGTACGACGTATGGGGGGTTTTATTTCAATATTTTTTGTTGTTGGTGTATTGGTCTGAGTTCGTAAGTCATGTGACTAAAGTGTACATTTTTGTATAAGTAATTGTGTTCGAACTGAATATAAATCTAGTTGTAGTACGCAAATAGAATCCTGGTTACACTTCCACCACTGAATTTTTCAGATCTACAAAAGGTCAACCATTGTAAGCGACCTCAACCTATCCACCAGCCACCTAAAACAACAAATCTGCATGGCCGTAGAAGACGAAATCCAAAACGAGCTCAAAGAAACCGTAGTCAGCGACGAAGACTACCTAGAATGCGGCAACTACTGCTGGCAACGATTTTACTCATGTTGTGTCCAGTATCACGTTGCAGGCCTCAAGCCTCTAGGTCTGCTCCTCCTCCCGAATTCTTCAGGAGCAGTCCTTTTAAAAAAATCGATGATTTCATTCCTGAGACCCTTGGACATTTTTGAACACTTCATGTACGAGAGCGATTACATATTCAAAGACCAATTCACCAAATATTTTCTTTTAACTGAGAGTAATTGAAATGACTCGTCTAATTAACAATGACCTATTAATGAGTTTTTCAGATGTAGATATCACCGATGACGTCGTTAACCTATTTAAGGTCATCAACTACTTAGACCAACAAATGAGCGATATTTTTGCGTACACTTTCGAAAAAGAATTAGCGTTGTTGAAAGCGCCCGACGTCATCATGACGTCTTTGTTGGATAAAATCCAACGAGAGATGGACAGTGAGGTAAGCAGTAGTTCGGTGAGCCGCCACGAGATGGCTAATTGTGATTGCAGTTTTCCGATCACGTAGCCGAGATGTTGCGAAAGTGCACCGATTTGTATCAAGCGGTTCACAAAGTTCTCGAGTTGCTGAGGATCGAGTATCAGGTCCATCCTGAAGATTCCGACGATGATATAAAGGCTTCAATTAACCATATTTTTACGTCGCAGTTGGGCGTTTCGATGGTTTCTGGTTGCTTGAGGCAGCAAATTCAAGTTAGGTTCACGATTTGTCGGAATCTTTTGCTGATAAGCAACATTTTGTTGGAACGTAGAGAACTCGACTGGAATGTTTTGGAGGCGATTCGATCGGTGTGCACTCCGGAAATTGTCGTTTTGACCCAAGCCAATTACGTGATGGTGTGGCTGTCGGGGTTGTCAGCACTGACTTACTTGCCGACGTAAGATAATGTGATTTGTAGGGTTTTCAAAGTGGGAAGTCGCTTTTCGTTAAAAGGGTTAAAAGTGATTGGTTAATTTCTTAACCATAAAAAAATCATCTGTAACTAAAAAATCTGTTGGGTCTTGGTTTAAGCTGATTATTTTTAGGGAATCGGCTTTGCAAAGACTTTCGTCGCTAAAACTGGCCCCTGTTTATAATTTGAGAACAAACTCCGTCAATTCGATTTCGTTGTTTGAGCTTTTCGCGGGATCTACTGGTGGTTATGAGGCAAGAAAGTCGTTTGCCAAAATGAGTCATAATGAAGAGACTTTGGCACATTGGCATATGTCACTGTTGCCATATTTGAATTGTTTGTTCCATGTTATGTATCCTTTTTATGACAGTTATTTGTTGACACATTAGGCAACTAAAACTAACTTAACTACTATTAGATGGCCAATCAGCGGTAACCCAATTCTAGCTGAGTGGTTGCTAAGTTGTGGCCAACACTTATGGTTGCAACAGTACATTCGTTACTTAAGTACTTGGTGCGAATGGAACAGCTGCACTCGTAAGTTTTTACTTTTGTACTAAACAAAATCATCTTTTTAAAAATTTAGATAGTTTTCTTCTGGCGGCCTCTCTCCTAACAACTGGTGAGAATTACAAAGCCCAAGAACTCTTCCAAATCGCGGCTAAGGGCATCTTCACTGATCAGTTTTTGGCGCAGCGTATTTTAACTTCACAAGACAGCCAGACTAAAGCTTATATTAACTACTACCTCAAAGTTATACACTTATTTGAGCTCCACAAAGCTTTAGATTGTGCTATCAATTTAGCTAATACCGCTTTGAGTGTTACGTCACCGGACGACCCACTAGCTGTACGTGTGTACTTAAACGTAGACAACCCAACCTGATGATAATTTTTAGGCAACTTTATACTCAGTCAAGTTTAAGCACCACCTATCTTTAAAAAATTACCAAATGGCGTATGATTCTCTCAACGCCAATCCAGATTCCGACAGACGAAAAGACAATCTTCGCGATTTAGTAAAAAAGTTATTAGATGAGAAAAAACTGGACGTTTTGATGAATTTCGCCTACGGCGGAATGGAAGAGCTGTTCTGTGATATAGTTTTCACGAGAGCACGCGCCGCGGACCCCTCCCATAACATTTATTACGACTTTTTATACGCTTACCAAGTGAAGAGGGGACCTACGTTTTTGCGTTTGGGTAATCCTGTTCTTACATTGTATAACCGTTTTTTTACAAAATCTTCTAGCCGCATCCGTAATGTATGAACAAGCGTTTCGTCTGAATCAATACAGCGATGTCGACTCTCTGGAAAAACAAGTGAAATGTTACTTGGCCGCAAAAAATGCGCTGGCTTTGTGTGAGCCCCAGTATGCGTACATCGTAATGCCTGTGGATCAGGTAGAGGACAAAGTTGTTGTTTTGCCCACGTTGGCAGGCAGCGATGACGTAAGTAGGATTTATTTGTGACGGCTGCATAATTTTAAGATTGGGGAAAGCCCATCAGTCGGAATGAAATTTATTGCTGCTGAAGCAGAAATAAATCGGGATTATTGATTATATCTTAGGGTTGTAATTTTCAGTTTGATAAAGTTGCTGCAGAAATTGAAATAAATGAAACCGTAGGGAAATCGCGCTTTCAGTGGGTATTGTTTTTCGATTCGATCCGGCGAGATTTGCCCGAAAAATAAGTATTTTTCGTTTTTCAAAAGTCGATTTTGTGAATTTATAAATTATTTTCGTCGCTTCAAAAAAAAAAAAACTATATTTACATATTTTTTCAATTTGTTGTTAATTATGTAAGTGACGTGTTTATGAATAACTCATTTTCTGTTAGTGTTACAACACACGGACGTAAAATTATAAGACGACTAAAAAGGTTTTCTGCATCGTCGTGTTACGGGATTAACTTCAACTTCAAATTATTTTGGTCAAAAAGTTGTCAGAATAGTTGTTTTTACTGATATGTGTTTTGTGATGTAAATGAACTGCCAAGAGAATACCAGTTTAAATATTGGCTGCAGGTATAAATAAACATAACTGTTTATCTACGCTATGTTTTTTATATTTATATCTTTTGCGGCGTTGTATAATACAGTGCGACATAATTTGTGGATGTCACAAATAGTTGCATCATGTAAATGTTGTTTTCAAAATATTAAATATTTTTTAACCCTACTGTTTCAAAATACTGGTTGTTTATTTATTACTAATAAAAGATATTGGTATAGACTTATCTAATGAAATACCAACCGACAGACAAACGGAAACGGGAAATTGTGGTTTTCCTATTGTACGAGTTATAAAGCGACAAGAAAACACAAACTACGTTGGTCAAAATAATGCTATTACAGTATTTCCCTTAGTCAACATTCAGGAAGCAAAAATATTCACACTAAACTTTTTTTTTCATATTTTGTTTTTATTTATTTTGCATTTGAAAGTTTCAACAAGTTTACGTCAACGCTTATTTGTACAAGATTTGAGTACAATTTATAATTTACACCTTTTTTGTTTATCTAATAAAGTACATTAAAAAAGAAAAGAAGAAATGAATTTTAAGGAGGTAAAAAGTAAAAAGAGAGTGCAAAAGAAGAAACTTGAAACATATGAAAAAACATGTTACAAATTTTCTCTTTTCTTTTTTGTCCTTACATTTTTATGTGAATTCATATTTTTAAGTTTTCTTTTATTTCCATACTGGGTGTCCCAATTTATCCGTTCCACTTTACCTTCCACTTTTTGCAAGGTTCTGTCTTTTCAAATAACTGAGGTATTACGATGGAACAGCTAAAATGGGATATTTATTACACATATTTCTTTATAACATGAATCAGAAATTCCATAATCTTAATGGGAATAAAGTGTAAGAACTGAAATTTTATGGCTTCTAAGTATTTTTATTAACTACTGCTTTTTTCTTTATGACAAATATAATAAACCTAACAGCTACATGAATTAATTACACAATATTTTTTCCGTGCTAACGTATCTCTTAATTTCTAATAATTTTATTTTTTATCCATTATTTGTCACCTAATTTTAAATAACATAGTATTCAACGAAAAAACCGAATAATCAAGGTTTCACGCACGTACGTGACGGTTCCCAGTGTATTTTCACCTGCGTAATTGGAATATTGACAGGGAATTTTAACGACGTTTAATTTTTTTTTCGCCGAAATCTTGCAAAATAAAGTAAACGTACCACAGTTGTTTATTTTATCACATGGGGGCAACCTCACCACAACCCGCATGTTTCACAATTTTCAATAAAACTTTCACCAAAACCAATCAAACAAACAATTTCACAAAAAATTAATAATGTCACCCGATTTTTAGGAACCCCACGAAATAATCGTGCGAAAACAAGTGAACATCATCAATTTAGAAACCCTAACAAAAGAACTAGCTTTCGCTGGGGCCAAACTAAAACTTGTACGTTTCAGTCCTAGAAACTATTTCGAAATAACCAGTGAGTGAAAATTTCTTAAATGACTCATTCTAAAAAGTGTTTTTAGATCCTCACGAGTTAGTAATGCTTTTAACCAATGCCGGCCTTTTCAAAATCGCGTTATCCATCTCGAAATCCTTCGACGTGCCATATAGAATTGTGTTCGAGGCTTTAACCAAAAAATGCGGCAACTTGTCGAAACACAGCGAACCCGTTGCGTGGAAGTGGCTTATAGAAAACGAACTTCAAGGTAGTAGTTGTAGTAATTTTTGTTGCCACTTCCTTTTGTACACTCATAACTTCTTAGATTTACCGATGAGTACGAAAGGCCCGGCTACCGCAGCCTGGAACCTCCTGCAGGAACTCGTCAGCGAGTACGAGGAAGACAAGATGTCCGTCATTCATAAAATCGTGTGTAAACAAATCATTAAAATGCACATGTTCATTCCGCAGTGGTTGCTGGCTTCGTACAAGGTAAACGTCGGACGAAATTACGGTGTGAATATTTAAAGGTAATTTTAGAGGCGCAACCCTTCAGAATTATTCAGATTGCTGTATAGTTCCGGTCGATTAGAGGAAGCAACAGAAATCGCGACTGAATATATGATGGCCGCTTTGGGTTATGGTAAGGAATACTACGGATTCACGCACGCCATGCAAGCCACAAAACCAGCAGTCTGTCTTCCCATTCGCGGTTTTATCGCTCTGATGAACCAACTCAAGTTAATTAACGGAAGTGACCCTGAACAACCCTTCTTGAGGGAATACGAGCATTTGGAGAGCGTGCTCAAAACTTACTTAGAAACGGCGCAACGGACCTCGACCGAGATGTGCCAGTATCAGTTAAGTTTGGTTAAGAGTAATTAAAGGATTTTTGTATGGAAGTGTTTGATTTGTAGTTTAAACCCTTTTTCTTTTTTGTTTTTTAAATTTATTTATCAATATCCGACTTCTATTGACTTTTTTAAATTGTTTCCTTGAACCGTAATCGCGTTGATAGTAAATTCGTAAAAAAAACAAATATGCACTCTTGAACCGGTCAGTCAGATCTTGTATAAATACAGGTCTTTCGACATCTCCGCTCTCATGTTACATCAAAAAGTCGTCATAACACAATGAAGTTGTGCATCCGCTTATATCTTGTGGTTATTTTTTGTCACGCGGAACCTTTGCCTAGTCCGAATCCTGGACTTGTGCATAATTTTAAAACCATCTTGGACGTGATGCTAGATACCGGATTAGGAATGCTAGCACGTTCCACAACAATGGAGCACCGTTTAACGAAGAATGTTGTGTTTAGTCCCATTAGTTCTATTGTTCTCACAGCAGAACTCATGTTAGGAAAGTCAGAGAAGTTGCCCGCGTCAGAGTCTGATCTTCACCAACAACTCGGGGAATTACTTCAGTTATTGGAAAGCGCTCCAAATGCTACTAAGCACTTTAGGGTAAAGCGGCAAGACGCCGTTTTTGTCAATAAGAACATTACGTTGAGTAGAAATTATGTTAAAAAATTACGAAATTTGTATGAAACGCCGGTTCACTATGTAGATTTCAAGGAAGATCCAGAGGGGGCACAAAGGTACGTACTTGAGTGAAGTTTTGTTCATATTAAGATTAACTAAAATCGGCATCTATTTATAAAAATGTCATACTAATAAATAAATCATGTATTGCAAATTCGTGTATGACTTAGCACAATGACGCCCATTAAATCCGAAAAATATGTTTTTATTTACATATGATTTGGAACAGGTCGTATACAAAGCAAAATTTAAATTTAAGATCACCTATTACTATGTTCAACAATAATACTTATCTAAATTTTGACACTTAGCGTCGATGTCTTAAACCATAAGTGAAACATTCCTTTTATTATTTGAATATACATTTTTTTTTTCAGGGACATAAATTCCTGGGCTTCCGTGAACACCCAAAACCACATCCGATCCGTTTTACCCTCACCTCCGCCTCCTGCAACTTCCTCAATTTTCTCAAGCGCCTGCTACCTTCAAGCTGACTGGCGAACGCCCTTCGCCTACGCCCTAAACAAATCGCAATTCTTTAACTTAAACTCCACCAGAAAGGTTCCAATAACTTATTTGTTCCAACAATTCAATCAAATCATCTACGGCGAATCAAACGATTTTCTCGTAGCTGCCCTACCATACACCGCAGAGGAAGTCAGGATGTACATAATTTTACCAAACCATCAAAGCCGTTACAAATACGATCTAAAAGCGTTCATCTCCCGAATTTCCTTCGATGACGTTCAAGAAACTATCGCTAATGCTCAACGACACGACTTATTGGTCAAAATCCCTAAGATGAGTTTATCTCGAAGTTTCAGCGTTCGGGAGGATTTGAAGGAGAACGTGGGGCTTAAACAAGAAAATATAGATCTGGAAGGCGCTGCCGTTGGTGGATGGTTGCGTGTTGACGATGTCATGCATCAAGTGGTGGTAGATTTTGATCAAAAAGACGTTGAGTACTCGAATGTTGACGTACTGGGTAGTACTTTGGTGGGTGGGGTGAAGAATTTTTTTGTGAATAGACCGTTTTTGTTTTTTGTGAGACATGAAGCCACGACTGCGATGTTGTTTATAGGGGCGGTTTGTGACCCCCGTGTTGTTTAGTCGTATTGATACGGTGTACCATAATGCGGTACTGCTTCGATATCACACACAATGGACATAAATCTTGTGCGGTAGACGGTGGATTTATTGCGAAGTGTAACAGCGAAACTGAAGACTAATAGGTTGCAAGAACATTCCGACAGGGTATTTGTTTGCAATCGTAATGTACGTAGGTAGAGCTACGTTTATCCAACTATGACACAATTTTTTTATTTATTCGGTTATTTATGTGTTGTGCAAGAAATTAAGTCTAATAAAACTTGGTACAAGAAACATGTGTAGTTTGTATTTTTCGTGGTTACACGGTTACAATTTTGTGTAGTATAACGTGTCACATGAGAACGCCATAGTCAGAAAATTGCATATTTTTTGCTTTTAGTACCAAAGTAATTTCTGGTTTTTATTAAGCCACGATCGTGATATGAAAGATCGTAATAAATAAACTTGTACTCGAACAGTTAACATTTCTCATAAATTCAGGTCTTTCCACGTCTCAGAACTTGTTCACTAACAAAAGCGTTCGTGACAAGAATAACAATGAAGTTATACATTTTCTTAATGGTTATTTTTATACACACCTGTAGCCTCGAGGAGCCTCATCCTGGTTCTATATCTGTAATTCTGGGCTTACCACAGTAAAAGTACTACATCTTGCGCTATTAATTATTCAGTTCTCATGCACTAAATTTTACTATAATGTTTACATTTTGAAATACTTCGGATTAATTCCAAGTGAGTCAAATAAAAGACATTTCATAAGATATCTTTTGGAATTTTTCTCTAGTTCACTATAAATTTGTGTTTTCAACTAGAATCTAATTATATAAATATTGTGATCACACGCATACAATCATAGCGTAATTCCACTGTGCGCTTTATTATCAACCACAAAGTATATATAAAAAATAATTTAATTTGGAAAGGTGGACTTAAAAAATAATTTAAGATCATCGATATTTCTAGATTAACTCTAGCATCACAGAACTAACTCGAACTCTGTAAATATTAACTAAACTTTATTTATACATTTCCTTCAAAAAGTTGACTTTAATATGTACATATCTAAAGTTCAGTCAAGTAAATATTTACGGCGGATTACGATCAAAGATCCTTAATAACGCATTTTATTTTTTAGAAAAAAAATTCACAACAAAACAGCGATATCAATGTGGCTAGTGTTACATTGTCCATATAAAAATCAATGTAATATAAGTGTAATCAGAATGTTAATAACTTTGTCTTAAATAAAATCTACAACATCTCTACTGAAAAATTGGCCGCGACTCATATTTTTTGAACTATTTATAAAAGTGTATGAACCCATTTATTTCATCGATTAACTTAAAAACACCTCACGTATTTTTCTGGACCTCCAGTAACAAGGTTACGTTACAGTTGGTATTCCACATGTTAAAACTCCTTTCATTCCCACATACAGTTTGACGTCATCTAACAAATTATTAAATCATTCTTTCGAAAAATTCATGTAAATCTGTAGCTGGAATTTTAATAGAACAACTTTTTTCGTACTCTGATGTTTCATTAATTTGAAGTATTATATTCAAATATAGAAACTTTTGGTTTTCATTCATTATTTTTAGTATGCTTTTACAGCTGAAAATTGTCATTTATAAACTCCGTTGTCAAGTTGCCGTTGATGTTCAACTTTCGCCGTATTTTAAGGAGTTGCAGAATGAAGGATTTAAGTTGATTACTACAAAAATTTACCATTTTAGGCATGTTTTAAGTTTCTTGTTGTCGAAATAAGTCTACATATACTAAGAAAAAAAGGCAAAATGTAGCCCCGCCCACCCGCCCTATCTCAATTGTGATGATTTTTTTTTTATTCGTCGTTAGCCAAGGGGACGGAGCTTAACTGCAAAATCTTGAGTTCTCTACCAGAAATTAAAAACATGTTTTTGAGCATCCTGTTGTTCAAAGAATATGTAGTATGTACACTCACCGGCAAAAAAAGCGAATCACCCAAAGTTTGTATTGAAAATGGTTCCTTTTTTGAACGTTTGGCTACAGTCAATATCAGTTTTGAAAAAATCATACAAAATATACTAACACTAGGTTTTTGGTTCTTTTTTGTACATGATATGAACCTCAAATCTGAAGATGATAAGTTTTTTCCAACAATGAGATTTGCAGTTGTGACGTTTAGAGGGCATTAACAGACGGTTTGTCATTGTGATTTGATGAAAACTGTGTTTTTGTCAATTAACATGAGTATTGTGGCCATTAATGCAGCACGAGCAATTGCTCTTATTCAGGATGGTCGAAGTTAACGGTACGTTGCCAATACGTTAGGGGTATCACAAGTGAGCATTCACAGAACTGTACGACGGTTTAATGAGACTGGATCATACAGCCGAAGACCTGATTCGGGTCGTCCAAAGAAAACATCGGCTTGGGATGACCGTTTTTTAACGCTGACCGTGTTCCGTAATAGGGATACGACCGCAGTTGAGGCCAGAAATCAACTTGAAGAAACACGAGGAGTTAGTGTAAGTGAAAGAACTGTAAGAAAAAGGTTAACTGCAGCTGAATTGAGGGCCCATAGACCTGCAAGTGGCCCAGAACTTCTCCCACGACACAGAGTAGCCCGACTTGCATTTGCTCGAGAACACGTTAACTCGGATCTTGCCCAATGGGGCCAAGTACTCTTTACAGATGAGTCGCGTTTTTGTCTACGTTCTCCTGACGGCCGTCAAAGAGTATGGCGAAGAAGAGGTTAAAGGTAGGCTCAGTGCAATTTTGTTTCCAGACTAAGTTTTCATGGAGGTTCAGTGATGGTCTGGGCAGGAATTTCTGCCGAGGCTCGCACGGAACTTGTAGTGGTGGATAGAGGCACAATGAATGCTGACCGATATGTAGCAAATATTCTTCAAGAGCATGTCGTACCTTTTGCTCCTTTTGTTGGCGATAATTTTATTCTAATGAATGATAATGCTAGACCACATATCGCTAGAGTTGTACAAATCTACCTCGACGAATTCGGGATTTCACGTATGGAATGACCAGCACGCAGTCCCAACCTGAATCCAATTGAGCATGTGTGGGACATGTTAGGTAGACGTATCAGAGCACGTGTGCCGGTCATACAACACATAAGAGATCTTGCAAATGCGCTAGTTGAAGAATTTGACCAATTAGCCCAGGCTGAGATTAGACACCTCATAGAAGGCATGGGAAGACGTATGGCAACCGTAATGCAAGCTAGAGGCGGCAACAGTCGTTATTAATGATATGTTAATTAGTCTTTTGTTGGTTTAATGTAATGGATTTTCTGGTATTTTTTAATAAACTCGTAATTGTTGCAACTTCAACGAAGGTCCCGTTACCTTCTCATCTCCTTTGTCCTAGATAAACTAATTTGTCTTATAAATGTGACGCACACCAGAATTTATTGAAGATTTCTACAAAAATACTAATGATTCGATTTTTTTGCCGGTGAGTGTATATTTAGAAAAAAACCCACTCATACCCGCCCCGATCTCAATTCCCAATTGTGATGAATTTTTCATTCGTTGTCAGATCGAGGGGCGGGGCTTTATTATAAGATCCATATTTGTCTACAAGAATTTATATATTTTGACTTTTTTTTCTTAATATACATAGTATTCTTTGATACTCGAAACATTTTTTTTATTTCTTGTAGAGAAATAAATTTTTTGCAGTTAAGCTCCGTCACTTGGCTCACGGCGAATAAAAAAATCATCACAATTGAGATAGGGCGGGCGGGTGGCCTACATTTTGCCTTTTTGTTTTAATATGTCTACACGTTTTTTCACAACATGAAACTTAAAACGTGTTTAAAATGGAAAATTTGTATAAAGAAATATCGATTTTGCAATTAGGATCCGCCCCATATTGCAAAATCCATATTTCCTTGCAAAAATGTACCATTCTAACCATGTTTTAAGTTTTTTGCTGTAAAAATATGGCTATGTATGTTAAAAAAAGGTAAAATATAAGCCCCGCCCACCCACCCTATCTCAATTCTGATGATTTTTTCATTCGTTGTCAGACCGAGGGGTGGAGCCTAATTGCAAAATCGATATTTTCGTATGCAAATTTACCTTTTTAAACATGTTTTAAGTTTCTTGTTGTGAAATAATTACTACACTTATTAAGAAAAAAGACAAAATGTAAGCTTCGCCCACTCGCCCTATCTTAATTATGATGAATTTTTTATTCGTCGTGAGCCAGGGGGAGGAGCTTAATTGCAAAATCTTTATTTCTCTACAAGAAATAAAAAACTTGTTTTTGAGTATCCTATTGTTCAAAGAATATTATGTATATTAAGAAAAAAACAAGCCAAAAATTAAGCCCCATCCATTTCCATCCCAAGCTCAATTGTGATGAATTTTTCGTTGGTTGTCAGACCGAGGGCGGGGCCTAATTGCAAAATAGATACTTTCCTACAAAAATTTACTGTCCCGTTTCCGTCCGTCTGTCCGTCTGTCTGTCTGTCTGTCTGTCTACAGTCCCGATTTTTTTTTTATATGTTTGCAGAGTGGTTCTTCTGTAAGTATTCTCTAGCCCCCCCCCCCACCCTCTCTTTTACGCCGCTACTGTGCTTTTTGTTCTTGCTAGTCATTAATTTGGGTAATTTCTGAACAAAAAAAGTTTTAGTGGCAATTTTAAAATAACGAGAATTGATACAAATTTTAAAAACAATAATAGTATTACCCACGAGAAAAGACGCGAACGAAAACAAACATAATTTATAAAAAATGTGTTTGTTGAATAATTATTTTTCATGACTCGGAAAAAACAAAACAAACAAATAGAGGGGAAAAATTATTATCGTGTTGTTATTTATTTATTACTTGAATTAACTCGGGTTGGTTCTATGAATTTTTTAAATTCAACGACGCAAAATACCGAGTAATGTTGACATTGACCTATTGGAATTTTCAACGAATATTAAAACAGTAATTTCCTTTGAGTAAATAGAACCCAAAAAAATGAGTATTGATATTTCCCCTATACGCATTGATCTAAAAAGCAAACAAAGCAGGAGCATTGCAACTATAGCTGGAGGCTCTCTCGCCAATTCTTGACGTAATTCGTGACGTAAACCGGAGTCAATTTCGAATTTCGGAAAGCCCATATAGGGGCGTAAAATTAATTGACAGATAAGTGGATACTCGTGTTGTAATTTCCATTTTGGGTAAGCACAAAAGTTGGATCTGACGAAAATTTTAGGAACTTACGTTGACACAAGCACGATAGCCGTCAGCGCCAAAAATATTAATGGAGTCGAGGGAAGTAGGAGACTTTGTACATGACAAACGAAAACGTGACTTCAGGTCATGGTCTATCACTTTATTGTTAAATCATGGGGTAACCACACCACAATGGATGACTTTCACGCTAACGGAACTAGATATGTACTCAAATAAACAAAATTAACAACTGACACAACAATTTTAAGAAATGGAGACGTTGTGTTGTGAGAAAACAACAGCTTGGGGGCAAATTTGTTGTTTGTGGAAAATATGCAACCTTTGTCTTTTAGCACGTCTGAGGTCTGAAGATCAGCCTTAAGGAATAGCTCAAGAAAAGAGTAAATATTTGTCAATACAATAAAGCTTTCTACTATGAAAATAGAAAATGTGGTCTATATTTAGAACAGTCGAAATCAGAACGTTGTTATAATGGCCACGAAGAATTTATAGAGAGCAAGGGGACAAAAGTCGATGTTGTTTATAAATAATGCATTTAAAGTCACAAAAACAAGATATGATGGCAACGTTTAAAGGTAATTAAGACAGTTAGCATATTTCAGATTACTCACGTTACTGTGTACAGTTATTTTGGTTTGAAGAAACAACTTTTTTGACACATGTAGTACAGGTTGTGATGCCATAAATTAACAGCTAGGATTAAATATCTCTTGTATAAAGAAGTGTTTTATTGTTATTCGTACGTTTCGCTTACATTCCCTACAGTAGTGAAAGTCAAGTATATGGTAACAATAACTAGGCAACCGGCGACCGTCGTTATCACCAACGTTGGATGTTGTCTGAAGATAATCAAAAGCAGGACACTGGCTACCAGCATGACGGCCGCCAGGAGCGGAATAAGAATCAAGGGGGCCCACTCGTTCCCTCTAATCTCTAGAAAAATATTCACTCCGATTATCACTCACGTTCGTAATATCACCTGAATTTCACCTGCGCTGAACGAGCTGCCCAATCCATCTCTGTGACTCCACGTTTTCCTACTATCATTCCGCATCGGGTATTGTTGCGACTCTGCCGACGATCTCAGTTCTGTGAATTTTTTGTTTGCGCATTCTTCGAACTTTGATAAACCGCTTTCGATAAGAAGAGGTCTCGTCTAAAAACGAGTGCATATTCATTGAACCTGTCGGTTTTCCCCGATGAATACAGGTTTTTCCGTGCGGTCTGTTGTGCCCCCCACTTATTCCCATTCAACAAAAATCGAAAAAGCCTGTTTGCGTCGCATCAGTGTATATTAGTTGAGCGACCCGATCACCTTGCGACTGTAAACAAAAAAAGGTCGCGCTTTCGCAAGTGATTAAGTGACTTAAGTAACCTCTGTGCCTTTACGGATTAGAACAATGAAGTTGCGCATGTACCATGTGATTGCGGCCGTGTTCGTTGTGCATACCTATGCACGGGAAGAGGTACCGCCCCTCCCTGCCCCCAATCCAGATAGTGTTAACAATTTCCGAGTGGCCTTGCAAGCCGTCTTCGGTGTTGGAGTGCGACTACAAGCGTTCCTCTTGGAAGACAAGAAGAACGAGAATTTCTTGGTCAGTCCAATTAGTGCCGCCGTCATCGTTGGACAATTGATTCTAGGCGCCGAAGGGGAGTTCCGGAAACAATTAATCGATTTGTTGGCCTTGCCCAACATCCACACCTACGAGAATGACGTTCTCACGTACCACAACCAGAAGAAGAACATGACGTTCGTTTTACCGTACTCCACTCTACATATACAGTTATCGAACTTACTTAAGGCTTTGGAGAGCGGGCCGGATGCAGGCAAACACTTCATACTCAAAGAAAAGAGCGCACTGTTCCTTGACCACAAAATTACCTTGAACGAAACCTTCTCCAGAGGTCTAAAACGACTGTACGAAGCCCGCATACACCCCGTAGATTTCGCGTCCGACCCCACAGGAACCCAAAAGTACGTACGCTATTCCAAAAACGGTACCCCAATCTTACCAACAATCTTTCTTTTTCAGAAAAGTCAACGAATGGGTCGTCAAAAACACGAACGGACTTATCAAAACCATCCTCGCGGCACCCCCACGTCCTACAACCACTTCGATTTTCGCCAACGCCATCTACTTCAAAGCGGAATGGCAGGTGCCCTTCAGCGACACGTTAAACCGAAAAGGGCACTTCCAGGTTAGCCCCACTGAAGCGGTACCAGTTACTTACATGATCAACCAATTCGACCAAATTCTGTATAGTGAGCACGCCAATTTCCGAATTACCGCGTTACCGTACACCAACGAAGAATTGGGCATGTATTTAATTTTACCCAAGAACGACAACCCTTACAAGTACGACATGAAAGGGTTCATCCAGCAACTGACATTCAAGGACGTTCTACATACCGTCAACAACGCCAGAAGACGCGACGTCGTCGTCAAAATCCCCAAAATGAGTTTATCCACGAGTTTCAGTATTCTGGATCAGCTGAAGAAATACCGCGTCTTCAAAGAAGAAGATGTTAAGGTTAACTCGACGGGTGTTCTTGATGTCCTTGAACAACGAGTGGATGCTTTTGCTAATTTCACGACAGATGAAATTAATCAAACTAATATTTATCTGAGACATGCCGCTATTGGTCAGCCGCTTCGTATTAATGATATTGTTCAACAAGTTGTGATAACTATCAATGAGAAGGGTACGGAAGCAGCGGCTGTTTCTGCAGCTACTATTGATTACATGGGTGGTGCCAAGAACTTTATTATCGATAGACCGTTTGTATTCTTCATCAGGCACGAAGCAACAGGTGCTTCGTTGTTTTGGGGGACCGTCGTCAACCCCACTGCTTAAGACTGATTTTTTTTTGAAAATGTGAAGACACTGCCGGTGGGAGCAATCGCAGCACTTTTCTTTCCTGTATTTATTTATTTTAATAGACTTATTAATAAAGTTGGATTTGAAGTTACCTCAAAAATGACCGACCCGATGAAGACAGCAATAGCGAAAAATCAGACAGGTTATTTGTAGTTTTTACGCCACAAATTTGTCAGCTGTTTTGAAATTGTATTAAACTTAGGGACGCACGATTTTTTACACTTTTTAGATTTTTTTTTTAGTGAAATCTCCTGCTAGACAGAACTGCACTGTGTAGTCGTATAAGGAATATTCACCTCTGTACTAAAAAATGAGGAGTAGCTGAACAAAGACATACTTATTTGTGATACAAATAGGATTAAAACATGTAATTTTGTAACAATACTGCCTTTTTGCTCGTCGTCTGAATGTCATAATGACATTCATTTTCCAGCTTGTTACAAAAAATTACATTATAAATGTTTTTATTACGAATTACAAAACAATGTTACAACACGAAGCGTCTTGTTATTTATATACTCTAACGATAAACAACATTGTATCGCTTATTGGTTTTGTTTTTATGTTTTAAAGCGTCGAAAAATCATTACATTGTTGGTAATTTCAAGTTTTTCCCGAGTTGTTTTTTGGTAGCAAGAGAAGAAACGAAAATATTTCTCTTGTGTTAAATAAAATTGTTCCTCATTTTTATTTTAGACCTCTCATTTGGAACCACCTTTCAACGTAATATTAATAACAATAATAATAATAATACTTTTAATCGTGAAAGATTCATAAAAGCAAAGAAATTGATAACAATTTTTCAATATTCGTGTATTATTCGTCGTTCTTCATATCGTACCGACAGTTTCAGTACCCGTCGCAAAAACTCTTAACCTTGCTGAAGAACTCGACATACATCTTTATCCACCTCTTCAACTTTTTGTCGTCCAGACGGTTTGTGTCGCTCAACATCCCAGCTGTCGTTCGGTCTCAGTCATCATCTTCACCCGACGAATCCACCCCGCTACTCGTATCCGAATCCAGCGTGGCACACGCCAAACAGGTCCTTCCCGAATCCTCCCAGCACTCCTGACAATAAGCAAAATGGCACATCTCGTTCCTGCATTCCTCGAACTTCGATCTGCACAACGGCTCTATCTCTTGGCAAATCAGACATTTACGTCTAGCCCCTGGGAATATGTGCAAGCAGCGGAAAGCACGAGGGAATCGAATTTTTAAAATCATAAACACGTTCAGACTCTCCTGCAATCGCCGTTGTCTGACCAGTTTCTGTATTTTTTTCTTCATGAACCTACATTCATTTTTTTGTTAAGAAATCGGTTTTAATTGTGCCGGCTTACCTGTAGTAACCTATGCGCCGTCTCAATGTTTCATTGTAGATGTGCAGGATCCGGCGTTTCTCACGTTTTTTGTAGAAGAAAGCGCAAATTATGCGTCGGAGACGTTGACTGTACATGTTTACGAGAATGAGGATCCAGATTACGAAATAAGTACCATAGATTTTGTAGATGTAGTAATTGGAGAGGAGTGACGGATGAGGGAGGCATTTTTCGTTGCTGCGTTCAATGTGGATGCGTTTTTTGATGTTGAAACCTTTGATGACGGAACGGAGAAGGTTTGCGATCAAACCTGTACCTAAATTGATGATAAAGTCAAGTAGTACTAAAATCAGAAAAGTGGTACCTTTGACTTCGAGTTTCATGTCGTGGCGACCAGTTTGGACATAGTCGATGCGAGCATGGCGCCTAACTAAGTCCAAACCTTCGTAGAACAGTCGATCTAAAAGGATAAAAGTTGTCGCAGTAATCAGTTCTAGTAGAAGATGTATTGTTTGCCACATCAACTGTCCTCTCTCATTTTTCAAAGGCATCGTAGAACACGGATCTACTAACTTCTTCATTTCGATCTTTTTCAACGGTAGCAGGGTGTGTTTGCCTTGTCGTTTTCTTCTAGCGTCGATTTTGCGAAAATACGTAGTCACATAGACGTTGTCAAATTGAATTTCGCGTAAGTACCGATCTAGATAGTTTTGTGCATTGAGAATAATCCTCAAGAAAACGAAAGCGAGAAGTCTTTTCAAAATCACCAACATCTTCCGCAAAATACTTCTCTTTACGTTGACCGCGTGCAGAATAGCCTTTGCCGTATCCCGACTATCTCTAAGGTCTATCAGTTGTTTGATTTTCCCGAGTTTATACTGCAGATGCACGTTTTTAAAATTCTGTGAAAACTGTCCCCTTGATTGTTTTAAATACTCGTAGCCTTCGCCAAAACCTGGGTCTATGTCTTTGGAAGGGTCACACCTACTGGCTCCACCCAAAGCTTGCGCTATGTTACAAATGAAGTCCAATTTCATAGGCCAACAGAGTAACCAGGCAGCCGCCCAAGTCACTGCATCGTAACACTTATTGTACGCTTTTTCAAACATAGCCCTACACTTTGTGGCAGCCCTTGTAAACTGATCTTCACATCGCATCTCGACCTTCTTTAAATACATCTTCTCGAATCGTTCCGCTTCTGCCTTTTCACCCTTACTGTCATACTTAGCACTAATTTCCTTACTCCTGGACGTATCTCCAAGTTTCGAATCCAAATAGTCGTTTTCTTCTTTCAGTTTCCTCATTTCTGTGTCATCTTCGATTTCGCCTACAACAGGCGCTGATACGTCTCGTATCGACCTCATCGTATCCTTCACCTCATTAACATCAGTCTTCATACCAAACAGAGCATCCGAAAACGGTTTGAACATCAACTCAAACCGTGTCTTAGTTAGGTTGAACGTTAAAGAAGTAGTACAAGCGAAAACTCGCACCACTTCTCTTCCATTATTCGTGATGTTTTCCACAGGTCCGGACAGAATGAAAGCCAAAACGAAGGTTTTGATGACCCCTCGACCCACTTTTCCGCCGAAACTGGGCAATGCGAGTAACGTGATGCATCTAATCTGTGCGGAAAAAGCATTGCCCAAACCTAGTAGCAAACACATCGCCATCCCCATAAGAATCGCCGCTCCTTCCGTGAAGTTCAAGTCCACAAGAATCAAAAAGTAGAGCCCAATCCCTAGCAAAACACCAAACAAGAAACTGAAGATTTTCTTCAAGCAGTTGTGTCGGTTGGTCGAAAACACCACATTGTAAAGAAGAAGCGAAGATCGTTTTAACTTTTTCTTGAACAAGTTGCACGAACACAGCTTCATCGCTGTCATTCAACGTCAGACTGACATATATTCGTCTGAAGGATCCGTGGATCCTATGATGCTGTTACAAGCCGAGATTTCTTCACTACTGGCTTCGCTAGTACTAGCCCGGCTTCTGTACTCGTTCAACATCGCCAGCATTTCGTTCTGACGGACGTTGTTTTCGATTAACTGAATTTCTGACGGGGAATTCAGGTCGGGTACTGACACGTACTTGTGGAGAAGATTGGGTAGGACTTCGCCGTTTACGCTTTCTTTGGTTTTCAGAGCTATGACTGACTCTTGTGCGGCGCCTTCGCTCTTGGGGAGGGTTTTGTCTGTGTAGCGGGAAATTCTGATTTTGGTTAGAATGTGTTCGCTGTGTCGTTTGAAGTTAGTGCTTTTTTTAACAGTTTGGATGGTTTTGGGCGAGGCGGATAGGACTGTGCTTGCTACGTATTCTTCTTCTTGGTGTTCGTCGGTACGGTGGTCTTTGTGGATTCGGAAAACTTGGTGGGACGACACTCGGGAGGTGGTAGCGGATTCGGTTTTGTAGATGTTGGTGGTTTTTCTGGATCTGGCGAGGATTTTTGTGGGATTGTCCATCGTCAGTACAGGAGGGAGGGTTTAGAGTGTGTCGTCCATTGGGATGATTTTTCACTGAGAATTTTGACAGTGACAGATGGGTTGACGTGGTTAGGAGAGAGGGGGGATATTTCTGTCTTTGCGTAAAATTACGTTTGGTGCTTCTGTCAATAAAAGTATGTATAGATTGAATTTTTTAATTAAATAATTTGTAGCTTCTAGAATATGAAAAAGTAGGTCTTCTTCGTCTGTTTTAATTTAAGGATATCGGATCACCAAAAATATTTGGTGATGTTATTTCAAAATTTTGCTAAGTAAATCTTATTTAAAATATGCAAATTTTTTAAGACTATGGTAAACCGCCAATCAAAATTCACCAGTTTATCATTAAATAAATCTGGTTTAAAATTTGTAATATGGCGTGCTCATTTATTTGCGGTTTAGTAATGTATCAATCAATATTACTTAGAATTGTTTATACAGGTGTCTCAAAAAAAAATCATAAATGAAACAGTTTATTATATTGATTAAATAAAAAACTGTTTACTTAATTTCCCCGAAGTTCTGTATTATGCACTGTACTATTGTTATTGTTACCATGAAAAAATCGATGACGTCACACAGCATACTCAATGATTCTTTAGGAACGAAGGAAGTGAATAATTTTAGACCAATTTTTCAGCAATGTCGTGCTTACGCCTTAACGTATGAACACTCACATGACATGCAATAATAAGCACTATTATGCACAAGTATGTACAGGACCCCATTATAAACAGAGGTCAGATTATATGCAAAATACACACACGAAACCGTGATAAATATCTGCATATTTCGAGAAACATTAGATGCATAATGCAATATATTTTGGGGAGTTCCGACGATAATATTGAAATTTCGACGAAAACCGCATTGGAATTTCCGTTTTAACACAAATCCTATAATGGGGTTATTCTCCCATGACGTCCGTAATGGTAGTTTATGTGATTTCTTAAAATTTTAGTGTCTAAGTGAGATTTTACGATCTATTTTAAGAAATAACTCTCAGTTAACTGTTCCCAGACTGTCGTTAATTTTGAATGAAAAATCTTTATTGTTTTTTTTTTTTGAACAGAAAGAAATTTGTTTTGCCGAAAATTAAGGTTCCAAATTCTTGTAAAACGAATATAATGTGATACATGTCACAACGGGTAGATTATTATTAATACATTAGTTGTAGAGATGCTCTTTCGCTACGAAACATCGCTTACCACATGAATTGCATACAAGATTTTTTTTTATTCTCCTGAGCGTAAGCTAAAGATCCCGAAACTCAACTCAAACTCAGTGTCGCGTTTCCTTCCGCCTGTCTCTCTGTGCTGATAAACTTTGAACCACTGGATTGCTTGTTGTCATATTTTATATGTAAATATGATATGAATATCATGTAGATGTGTTATTTAAATTTTATAAAATGAGATACTCCTGCACTTGTGGTTTATGAATCCGATGTTGAGTTTTTATTCTCGACATTCAGACTTTTGGAAAAAAAAAATCAAAACTGTATAACAACATTTTACAATTTAACTTTGAAACTGCCATTCCGAATACTGTGAAAGGGAACTTTTTAAGGTTACTGGAAGCATGGTAAATCGTTAATCAAATTTTGTCGAATAAACGTTCAAATTTATGAATGTTTACACTAGACATCCAGGTTTTTTTTTTGGAAAAAAACGAGTGTTCTTAATTAATTAATTAGTCCTCTCTGTTGAGAAGACAAAATCCATCAAATTTCATTTTCTTTTAACACAAATGCCATCGCTGGTGCTTGTTATCTGAAAGTGCTAATATTCGAATTTTTTCGATGTATAAATTTACCTAAACAGTCGAAGTTAAGCATATACTGAGAAATTGAGAATACATTTGCCCCGTTGAATATCTGCTTTAAAAAACAGACAAAGACGAAAGTTGTGCGGTTCTTTGCAGACTATTCTATAAAATAATTTTTAACTATACAGGGTGTTTAAGGCGTAACATACAACTTATTTTTTTTTAATTCAAAACCATATATATTTTAAGATATTTTTCATTAGTCTCTTCGTAGGGTTTATAACTATTTTTGAAATTCCAATGCGACGTTGCCATGTTATTTCAATTTTCTTGAAATTTTTAGCAATGGAAGAATTCACAAAAAATGCAATAGGGCTATTTTTAAAATCTGTATTACAATATTTTGGAGAAAAATAAAAAAGGTACGCGCTTTGTTATGATAGCAATTAAATAATTTTTTAATGTACAGAGTGTTTATAAAAAATTATAAAGCAATTTTCAAATATTCATATTTCCGTTTTTTCAAATACAACACCTTGTATTTTATTAGTGTATCTTATTCTATTTTTCCTTCATCTAATACAAAATTCTTACAAAAAATAAAAAATCGAAGCAACTGTCAACTTTAAATTTAGAAAATATTTGACAGAAAAGAAAAAGAACAAAAAATAGAATAAGATGTAGTAAAAAAATATAGGAAGCTCTATTAAAAAAAACTGAAATATCAATATTTGTCAATTGTAAAAGTTAAAAAAAAACACTCTGTATATGAAAATTTAATTTCGTTTATACTACAACAAATTGTGTATCTTTATCTTTCCACAAAATATCGTACCACAGGTTTTAAAAATAGTATAATAGTGCGATTTTTTTTGTCCATTGTTAAAAAATTTCATGAAAATTTGTAGCGTCGAAATTTCAAAAATAAACTGTTGCTATAAAGCCTAAGAAGAGGTCAATCAAAATATGTAAAAATATGTATGGTTTTTCATTAAAAAAAAAAAACAAGTGCGTCACATCTTAAAAACTTTTCCCTAGAGTCTTTTATAGGTAAGCAGTAGCCCCCCCCCCCGCCCACCCACTCCTTCTTCATTCTGGTGACTACTCTTAATACTATTAATTATTGACCATATTAATGTCTTATTAGAATCTTCGCCAAATCTATTAAACTGTTGGTGAGAAAACAGATAAATGTTTTATTTATTTTATTTATTATTCATCATTAGAAGGTGTCCCCATAATTAAACAGTGCACACAGAGGGAAGGACTCAAATCTTGTCTATGTAGTGTACGCAAAATTGATGTCGTTTAATACGTAGGCTACTCATAATGCAACTATTCGATTTTTCATAAATCAGTGTTTCGAATTTTCCGTTCCCCGTTTTTTAATTTTTCCTTTCTCCATCATTTTGATTTGCAATTTTTTGAGTTTCCAGATTAATTTTTCGATTTTTTTAGTTTCTCGTTACTTCATCTTTGAGACTTGCAATTTCTAGATTCCACGATTTTTTTATTTTTGAATTTTTGCTTCAATTTTTCGCGTTGCAATTTTTTTGAAATTTCAAATTTCAAATTTTGCTTTTTCAATTTTTAGATTTTTCAATTTTAGATTTTTAATTTTTCGTTTCCGTAATTTTTTGATTTGCAATTTTTTGAGTTTCCAGTTTAAGTTTGTTAATTTTTAAGTTTTGCACTTTTGAATTTTTCGATTTTTCAATATTTTGTTGCATCACCTTTTAGATTGGTTCTTTCTATTATTGTTTTTAGATTTCTCAATTTTTCGATATTTTATTTTTTCGTTTTTTCAGTTGTTGGATTCCCAATTTTTTGATTTTTTTATTTTGGATGTTTTCATTTTTCGAAGAGACACATCGAAAATACGAAAAAAAATCATGCTTTACAATTTTTTAAAATTTCAGTTTGAATAAACTTTTCTTTTTGTCCAAAATTTAAAAATGCATAAACGAGAACTTGATTATTTAAAAGCTAAAATTTGAAAAGACTGAAAATTAAAAACTAGAAAAACTGCAAACCCGGAAACTAAAAAAAATCGAAACATCCAAGAAACGAAAAACTGCAGATCGAAAAACTGAAGGAACGAAAATTTGCAAGATCGAAAATCTAAAAATTCGAAAAATTAAACAAACAAAAATTCACAAATGGAAAATTTCAAAATGGAAATATTAAAAATCGGGAAACTGGAAAATCCAAAAATTGAATAAGCGATCTAGAAATTGACAAATCGAACCATCTGTAAAATCGAAAAATTGTAAATCAAAAAATGGAAAAAGTCAAATGTTGATAAATCAAAATTTTGAAAAACTTAAAATCGGAAACTCAAAAATACTCAGTCAAGACAATATAAATAAACGCGGTGAAAGCAATTAAAAATTAATTGGTTAAGAAAAATTTAAATATAAAAATTGAAAAATCTAAAAACTGTAAAATCGTGAAAAATTCAGTTTTAATAAATTTGTTTTTTTTTTTAATAAATTAAAAATTACAATCTGGGAAAATGAAACATTAAAAAATTGAGAACTTGAAAAATTTAAAAGTTAAATTAAAAAATTTTGGTCTTCAATTTCTTTTTCTATTTCTGATAATTAATGAGATATAAAGGAACGCGCGCTTAGTGACTTACTCTGTATATTGGTTTTTACTTTATAAAGGTTATCAAAACCAAAAATCCCAAAATCAAATTTTTAAAATTTTCAAAGAAACTGGATTTG